CGAATGCTCTTGCGCGTCCCTGACTGGTGATGGAATGCTTTCGCGGTTGCGATGGCTAGTGTGCCAAGTGACACTAGTACGCAACCATCTAGCGCTCTTTCCCTTTCACTCGCTGTCTCACTTCTCCGTGACCACAGCACTCTTCCAACTCTCATACAGTGCCAGAATTCGACATGGCTGAAGGCTTTCGCACGAAATCTGTCACTGTCTATTTTGGGTCATACCATACGTACCGAGACATGAAGATTCAGATGCGACTCTTGCCTTCTTTGCGTGATCATTGGCGCTCGCTGCCTCCAAGTCTGATCTCTCCCTGTCGTTATACGCGCTTCAGTACCCCTCAACGACCTGAAGATCAACCATGCATCGTCTATATGGCACATAGCGCAGGCGGCTTCATGGTATCGGGAAGGTAAAAAGCGTGTGGACCCGATGGCTATTCATAACGGTTGAGCCTTGCGCAGTCTTCGTCAGCTAACCGCCGTCCCCACCAGCTCTCATCATCCCTGTCAAGTAACCGCCATCACCGTTTCAACTACCCGCCATCACTGTTAACTGACCGGGGTGACTTAACAGCGCTTCCTGTTTATTCTTTAAAAAGCCTTCAATGCTGCTGTCATGGTATTGCTATCATCCACATTCACTTCCACATTCCTTGATTCTTTACAATCATTACATTTCATATCCACACTCTTTCACATTGTGAAGTCATTCCCCTATTGCTCACCGGCGGAGCTATTGTTTTATGATACCACAGCAGTTCTCTCACCTCTAACGTTGCGACTATTAAGTCCTTGTCTTATATTCTTCCTTGCCAGCTTAACGACACTACGAACATACCAACCACACAGCGATCGAAGTATTCCCAACTAATACTTCATATCGTTCCTTGCGAAACTTTTCCGACAATACACCCCAGTACATCATTCAGATTACATACATACATTCTTCAGCTGGTCTAAGAAACACCATGTCCGCTAAGTCGACTCTCATTGCCGCGGCGGTCATGCTGGCCATGGCACCGCTCCACGCAGGCGCGCACATGATTTTGAAAAGCCCGGTCCCCTACGGCAACCCCAACAACTCTCCTCTCGAGGCCACGGGCTCCGATTTCCCTTGCAAAGCCGTTCCCTATACCGTCAACACCATGAATGAGTGGCCAGTGGGCTCCGAACAAACACTCTCATTCACCGGCACCGCTGTTCACGGCGGCGGCTCCTGCCAAATCAGCGTAACCACTGACAAGGAACCCACAAAAGAGTCAAAATGGAAAGTCATCTACTCAATCGAAGGTGGCTGTCCCGTTGAGGCTGCAGGTAATCTTGACCAAAACGGTCCTAGCACCAACAATGCCTTCAAGTACACTGTGCCTGCCGAACTCCCTAATGGGGTCATGACAATGGCATGGACGTGGTTCAACAAAATCGGAAATCGGGAGATGTACATGAACTGTGCGCCCATTACTGTCTCTGGTGGTTCTGATGACACAGCTGGCTTCGATGCTCTCCCCGACATGGCAGTCGCCAATATCGGGGTCGGTACATCCTGCGGCACAACCGCCGACAGCAAAGACTTCACCTTCGAGAATCCCGGAAAGTACGGCACGTCTGTCGGAACAGGTCCGTTCGTGGATCTCTGTTCAGGCAAGACTACCCAGGCAAGCTCCTTTAGTGGTGGTAGTGGTAGTGGTGGTAGTGGCAACACCGATACTGATCCTGCTCCTGCCCCTGGTAACTCATCTGCCGCCAACCCTCCCTCTGCTCCAACGGCTTCTCCACCCGTAGCCACACCACCCTCCGTGTCCGCCACAGAATCAACTTTCCGCACCATCAAAACAGTCACTGCGCCCATGCCCCCACTACCCTCCAAGACGGATGGTGTATTCGCACCAGGCGCTAGCTCCGCTATGGTTCCAACTGCATCCGCCGTCGCCCCGTCTGCGCCTCTCCGTCCAACAGGTCAAGCTCCTGCAGCATCAGTATCGCCTCAGCCACAGCCGTCAGCCACACCCTCTCCTAAGAGTCCGGTCGCGGGTTCCTCAGGCGAGGCGTGCAGCACTGATGGTGCTACTGTTTGCTCAGCCGATGGTACAAAGTTTGGTACTTGTAACTTTGGCAAAGCGATTATGCGGCCTGTGGCTGATGGGACGACGTGTAAGGACGGGGCTATTGCGAAGAGAGGGGAGAAGGAGTATCGCCATCGGAATCAGAGGACTGCTGTTTAGAGAGAGGGGGGCTGAGTGATGTTGGGGTGCGTTGTTGTTGTTTCTTCATCTTTGCTGTAAGATGGCGGGGAAGTATCCTTTTACAGTCTGCTCTCGTGATTGTGAGGAGCTGAATGTAGTAGCTAAGAGTGTCCGTCTACCCCGGACCACGTGCACGCCTTTATACATGCCATCTAGATTACGTTTGCGTCTCCTGCTTTTAGGCTGAAGAAGTCCTTTTACTCACGTGCAACTCTATATCATTTACTCTTTTTCGTTCCAACATCAATCTGGTCAATCTCTTTGGCAAACTCGGACCCCTATCTGTGACAATGCTATCCAGCTTGACACTAGGGTACTTCTGCCGATAGTGGTTCTTTTCTCGATGCCACCATGTACGCCAGATCAAAAACACTACAACGGTCAAAGGCACGCTAACTACCCAGTATACCCAAAAATGTCTAGAGACAACCGTAGTTCCCTCGTTTGAATCTGATGATCGTGCTTCAACGTCAGCCTGCCAATCGAACATTGACGAACTGAACAATGTCTTTTTGGTAAATAATTTCGTTAGCTACGATTTTTCTTCTTTTCAACTGCGATTGTTGATACGTACGGCTATGAAAGTTGGAGGCAAGAAGAGGGTGGTAACAAAAGCAAGGGCTTTCATTGCGGCACTGTCAAGCCCCGTAGTCGCTGCGATTGTCGAGTTGACGTTGCTGTCTACTTGGGCGAACAGATTGTACAGCTACAGCGTCTGGTCAATGCTTGAACTCGTCTTTAAATTGAACTGAATCTCTTACCACATTGAGTTGTATATCCAATCTGGCCTTTATCGCTTCCGTGTGTTCTAGTATCGAGATGACGAGACTTGCCAAGGTCTCAATAGTGTAATCTAGTTTTGGCTCTCTTCCTTGTATCGGTTCAATGAGATCTCGGATGTCCTTAGAGATATCTTGAAGAAACTGACAGTATCTGGCATTCCATCTCAAGTTGCCAGCCAAAGTGACTGCGTCGGTAACAGTAGTGTTAATTTGAGTGATGATCGTCTTTCGATCCAGCTTTTCCACATTGAATGAATCTAAAGAATTGACGTTTCGCCCGGCTTTCGTAACTCCTAATTGCCTTTCCAGTCTCATTGTTCTTATAGATAGATCACGCCCTTTGTATCTATCCGCATTGTAGACGTGATCTTCGAGTAGGATTACCGGTAAGAGCAACGGATGCCTCCAATAAGAACTTGTCGATTTGATGAGCTTGCTAATCCGGGGACCATGCGGTTCTAGATATTCGGGACGCTCCATATTAGACATGTTCCTTTTCCAATTCCCTTCATCGAACATATTCCAGCCGAACATGAAGCCGAATGTGACGTGTGTTTTGAACGATTGCGTCAGGCAGAGGCCGTAATTTGCAATCTGGTACATTTGTGGGACCTTGATCGTAATCACTAACTCTTATGTAAGATCCGCATATAAAAGTCGTGATAGTCTAATCTTACCGAGCTGTTCTGGATCATGAGAAGCCGAATGACGAAAGTAGTAGGAATGGCCGCCTCCGTTGAACTTGAAGAACGGAAGCATTTCAGTTGGTAGACCATATTTTTCTTCTACAGCCAAAAAGGATGCCTTGCTCATGCCGAACTGAAGAGGTTGGAAGCCGAATCTCTCACAAATGAGCAGTTTAATGCTGCCTTCTTCCTTTCCAAGACGAGAATTAGTTGGTCGAACGAAGCGGCCCCTTTTGTGTAGCCAATCATCTACCTCCAGGTCGCTCAGATCTCCCTCCCGATAAGTGTCATTTGTTGATGCATCATCTGCAGTCTCTAACGTTAGGGTACTCATGGAAACAAAGTATTGCTGGGGTCATGTTGGGTAAGCTTACCTGTATTTGCAAAAGTCCTAGTTTCGATATATCGAAGCTGCCCTTCTCCAGGTAGCCACTGGCACTCGTCCAGTACTTGCTGCCGTTGCACATCGAACATTGCTGCTTCTGTGCTCTGGGAGAAACGAACTATAGAATAAAGAATCTCAGTGGTGATCAGCCGACCTTGAGGTATTTATGTGATGCTCAAGCTTTTTTGCCCTTTCGTCTGTATTTGTCGATTCACTGAAAGGAGAGTTTAGGGTCAAGTGCAAGACCGGTCAGTCCAAGTACTTATCAGCCTAGTAAGTCCCTGAACTTGCGGCACAGTCGACGATTCACCGGTTGCCCATGTAGGATGACATCATCCCTGGCAGCCGCCAAGCTCGTCCTTGTTAGCCGCGTGCTACTATTTCCGTGCGGCAAGCGGTGTTTTTACGAAGGAAACTAATTTTGTAACTAAGCGACGCGTTTTATAGACTACCTAGGTAGATTCAGAGAGCCTTAGCACGATAGTTACTAGAAGTGGGAAATTGCGAATGGGTAGGCAATTTTGTATGGTGCAAACTGGTGAACTGGTGCTTAGCTGCACGTGTGCTGGCCGCTGGCCGGGCAGTGGTATACTGGTTCAGGCAGGTGGGGTGTCACAATCTGTGCCAGTTGTGTGGCGCATACCTTGCGCCAACTCCGTAGAAGGGGAAGCCGGCTTCGCTAAGCACTGTAAGACGCAGGCACAACGCTTTCGAGTCACACTGTAAAGTACCGCGGTAGAAGTTTGTTCCTAAACACTTGGCTTCACTATATGCAGCTTTGTGATGATTACATCTATCATCTAGCCACTGTAGTCATGGGCAAGGACTTGATTACAATTACCCAGATATATATCGCTACCAATCTTTTGATGAACACCACGATCAACTAAGCAAGTTAGTTTCTAGAGCTCAGTGCCCCGAAGGATTGCCTGTATCTCCTCAGACTTCCATTCGTCCTCACGACCCGTACAAATCTCTCGTATAGTCTTCTCGTCTTTCTCTCCAGCTTTCCCAGAAATCATCCCAAGATCGATAGGGTATTCTTCTTTGTTGGTCTTCCCTTTTCTGTTCGCGTTGGCTCTCTCAATTCGAGATAAACGAGATTCAGCCCGAAGCACCTCCTTCTTCCTTCTTAGTTGGTCGACAGCTTGTTTCGCCAATGTGTCACTGCTGTTGACGAACAGGAGAGCCATAACCTTTTCAAGATTCTGTATGAGACCTGAATCGAGCCAGGCACCGGGTGGCCTAGCTGGTGGAGATAGCACTCCCTTCCTCAGCTCTTCGTCAAGTCGTAATATCGCAGCCCAAAGCGGTGTCCAGGTATCTCTCGACCTGAACAAACCTTGCACAGAATCATCAACGTCAGGGCCTGCAGCATGTGTCTCGTCTGCGCCATATTGTAGGAGCCGTTCTACCATGGCCTTGTATCCATTCGTGGCAGCGTGATATAGCGCAGTACCCAAGAGTGGATGTCTGCAGTTTATGAGCTCAGTATCCGAGTACATCTCGAGGCAAAGATTAAGAATCTTTGGTGTTATCTGCCCAATTTGCGTGTAGTTGGGGCTACCAGCAAGAAGGTGTAGGATAGTGAGTTTGCTTGTAAGATCGACGTAAAATGCAGGCCGCTGGGCCGGACCGCCGTCGCGCTTGCCGAACAGGAATCTGAGCGATTCAAGGGTACGATTCGTATGTTGAGACAAGATCTCCACAAGAACACTGACTGATTTGGTCTCTGGTCCATTCAATCCATACACTTGGAGTGGATAGACCGCATCAACGTCAGCATTGTTATCGATCAACGCCTGGGCTACATCAAAGTTTTGGTTCAAGACCGCCAACGCAAAGGGTGGTTTGACACGTCTATCCGTGCTCTCGATTGGTACACCAGCTATGATGAGAGCGTCGGCGATGTATCTTCCGGGTCTTGACTGACGTGGTCGTGATGCACAGATATGAAGCAGGGATATATTACCCGCAGGTGTCGTTGTCGTAACTGAAGTGTCCGCCCGGTACCGTATGAGGAGCTTGAACATTTCTTCGTGATTCAAATCGATAGCCTTCTGCAAGGGTCGATGATCGGAAGTTCCGCTAGCGCTGTATCCAAGTTGCAAAAGGCACTCAACAATGTCTAGGTTTCCATGAGCGACCTCGTTACACAGCGTCCTACTTCGTACTTTTTGGAGCTCTTCGGTAGGTATGGCGCCCTGGAAGGGGATTGAACGAGCATGGAGTATCATCCAGGTGATTGTAAGGTTGCTTTTGTACTTGTGTCCATGGCGCACGAGACGGCTTCGCAATGACAGTGGATCGAATTTGGTCACTTTTTTCCCGCGTGCTAGATCAATCACGGAAGAAACATCTAGAAGCTTCGTTCGGGGCGCACTAGTAGGACCATCGATATGGGTAATGAACTCCGCGAGGATCTCCGGAAGTGTCAAGGCAGCAGCCAACTCGAAAGGCGAAGATATGTCGACCATTGTTGCCTTATCGCCTTTCCAATCACCTGGGTGTTTGCTGGCACTTTTCTTTAAAGGATCAGCTCCTAACTTTAAAAGCACCTTGACTGCTGGAAGGCTATTCATGAGGACCGCTCTTCCAAGTGGCGTTGTTTTGGTTTCAAAAATATGCTCCCAATCAGCTCTGATACCACGAACGTCCGCGCGCATGCCACCAGAACGTAATTCGATGTCAGCCCCTGCTTTGATCAGAGCTGATGCAACGATCTCCATCTCATTGGGCAGGAAGCTAGAAAGCCAATGCAGCGGTCCTTCTTGCCCATGATGATAGCCGTTTGCATCAGCCCCTTTGTCGAGCAATAGTAATGCGCAATCAATTTTACCGCCAGAGCAAGCGCATACCAGAGGAGTCTCGTCCACATGCTGATTTGGCAAATCGATGTCGCAGTCGTACTTCACAACCATATGACGCAAGGCATTCAGATTGCCGCTTGCGGCGGCGTAGTGCAGTGGACCATGTCCCCGTATGTTGACATACACACGGTCAAATGCAGTTTTTCCTCTGCGCTGATACTGTTGTGTTGACGACCCTGGGAGCTCAGATCTGAGAGATCTTAAGCAAGAGTCGTACGTGTCGCCGAGAATAGCCGCGATAGTCTCATCGAGTTGACCGATATCCCTCAAGTTGACTCTGTTCCATGGTGGTGTCATGTGCGGCGAGAAGAAGTAGCCCATTCCAACGGCACCCATTTGCGAAAGCAGGATGTTACGGAACTGCTGGAACTTATTCGACCATTGCTGTTGGGTTGCTCCAGTATTAGTGTTGATCAGCTCGAGTACGTCCTGGAGACAGCTCCAGTGACCCCGCATTACGGAGATCCTCAGCAATGACTCAAGTCTCCCCTGAGTGAGGTTGACATTAACCTCAAGCGCGCGTGAGATCCGCCATATCCAAGCCTGCGCCAAGTAATCTGCATCATCATGACTATCGTCATGCGAAGAGGCTTTCGATAACCACTGTATAGTTTCGTCGGCGTTGAATTTAGTGCCAAATTCGAGGAGATAACATTGGAACACGTGGAACGCAGCGACTGTCTTGTTCATCTCGATAAGATTCCCAGGTACATTTGCACTGTCATTAGCAGTGGCTTTTAATTCATCCAACATTTGCCGTTGTTGATCCCAGGTTAAGATCCTCTTCAATCGCTCTGGCTCAAACAGTATCTCTTCGGGATTGGGCTCGTTCAGACGAGGTCGGAAGCCAGGACTGTAAGCGGTCAGTCCATTGCACAGATCTTGTAGAGTAGTAGGCCTGTACATGTTATCTTGTAAATCTACATCATTGCCATATCGTCCAAGAAGAAACGCAGCACCGTCTCTGGTGATGCCGTGTTCTCCCTAGATACCTGTAAGCGACACTTCGCAATTGGAAGCTGACTTACGGGCGGTCCCCCAGTCTCACTGGCTGCTTGTTCTTCGTTCTTCTTCTTGATGAAACGCAAATATTTTGGTATATGACCAAGACTGTATCCCATTAGTATTAGATCTCATGTTATCACGCTCATCATACTCTAAGCCTCGTAACGCTGCTTGAGCCATTACAAGATCTCGATCCTCTGGTTCCAGTCGCACGGTGTGGATGATGGTATACGTGATGGTATCTACGCAGCGTTGCGACATTCCCCTCATGCTAGCATATTCACGAATGCTAACAACAGCACTAGCAGTGAAGCTTTGCGATGCTTTGCGTGCGCTCAAGCTGCGCTTGTCTTCATCAGATGCATTTTGTGCTGCGCCAGGAAGCGACACAAACCCTTGGCCGTCCTCAAATGCTCTCCAAACCAATAAACCAAAAGCGTACACGTCTGTGAGTACCATCCCGTCTTTGGATAGTCGCTGATTACTCGTTACCTCGGGCGCTTGAAAGGGCCACGTCCAGGTCTCCATTTTGCGAAATTCGTTAGGCGTCATATCCATTACAGCACCACCGAAGTCCGCGAGTTTCGCAGTGTATGATATACCATCCAGTGGCTCCTTAGCAGGTACGATAAGTACATTCTCGTGTTTCATGTCTCCATGCACAATCCCGCAAGCGTGGAGTGCGGACAGTCCTCGCCCAACATCGTAGCACAGCTTTTGCTTTGCTGCAAACGACAATGACTCAGAAGAGGCTTGCAAAGTCGCGAAAGTACCAAGCGATGCATACTCCATTATCAGCACTGGGTAAGTAGATTCCGAAATTGGCGATAGGCCCCATTGAATGCCCAGCAGTCGAATAATATTTGGATGGTAACGAATCGGCTCGTGAAGGAGAGCTCGGATCTCAAACAAGATCTCTTTCCAGTCGTTCTGTGTGAGGCCGCTGGAGTTGGTAGAAGAGCTTTGAGATGTAATCAGCATATCGTATCGAGCTTTGGGGAACGGTACATACTTCAGGCTCTGGTTCGTCGCTCGGGCGTCCGGAATGATCTCCTTCACAGCGACATCGAGAGGCGGCTCATTCACATCACGAATCCATTGAGCATGCTTGACCATGAATGTCTTTCCTTGACCTAGAATCTTGCCCGTGTTTCTGACGACGGAGGAATCATCGAGGACGATGTGCGAGAACGAGCGCAGCTTGCGTTCTAGACTGGTAACATGGCAGACAAATGAAGCGAAGGAACCCCGCGGAGTTGTTGCAGGCAGTGTCTTTGATTCTGTCGGTTCTACAGGTGGCGGAACGGGATGGCTGACTGAACCATAGCTGGATTCCGCGAATGACTTGATCCAGTCAAAGTCTTCCATTGCAAGTTCAATCAAAGTTTAGTGCAGGGGTCGATCGATGTGGGTGAGCTCGCAGCAGCTCGCATAGCTTCTCGCAGAAAACCATACCGTTATATTTAAGATAGTTAGGAGAATAGCTCGTGTCGATTTCAGCTGCCAAGAGATATCATACGAAGATTGAACGCACGTTCAATCGGAAGAGTATTGTTGTGTTGAAGTTGTTGGTGCGTGAGGTTTGTACCGGGATGGCCATTGGCTTCATCAGATGCACGTTTCAGCTGCCAAGAGTTGAGTGAGGGGTCCATTGCAACCGAGCTCGTATACCTCGATAATCTTCTGAACAACACACCTCATCATGCTAGCTCGAAGAAGCATCAACCTCATGCGTGTCATGATCGGGTTGGTGTCGCAGCCGGTCATGAGAATGCGACCGTTTTCTTCACACTTAACCTGCTCTCTCCGCCCCAGCGGCCGATGATAGCGCAGCACCAACACAGATGCGCGAACACATCAAGAATACTTCCATCCTTCCATCCCTCTATCGAAACAAAGCGCTCCTCTGATCAACGACTCTCGCTCTTGTCAGGGTGTACCCTCAAGGTATACAAACTCATCTAAGTTGAAGAATTATCGAGAAAGTAACAGTGTGCACCTCTAGAAGAGATTTCAATGCTTGAGGTACGAATCGGAATAACAGAGCACCCTCGTCTTGTATCATCCTTCTAGCTTGTTCATCTACCAACCATGTCCGGATTCGAAGTAGCCGGAGTTGCGATCGGTATTGCACCAATCGTGTTCAAGGCGGTGGCAGAGAGCATGAGAATACTAGAAGACACGGTTCGCTTCGATGATGATACCGAAGACCTGGTAATCCGGATTGAAACAGCGAAGGCGCATCTGAGCATCTGGGCTACAAGTGTTGGACTCGTCGAGGGCGAGCTTGTGCCAGCTTTGCATCCGTTGGGCGATCTCATCGTGAGAACGCTACAGCGCATCGAGTTACTCATGACCAATCTCGAACAGGAGGGGAACACATACGGCTTGGAAATCAGAGACGCTACTGACCCGGGACCTAAAAAGACGAGCGCGATGGCTATGCAGATGAGGCGGAGCTTGCACCGCGTGTTGAGAAAGTCAGATACAAAAAGAAACCTAGAGACTTTGATTCAAGCCGAGCAGTCGAAAGAATCTACAACCAGTACGAAAAGAATTGGAGTTGCAAGTCGTCTGTTTTGGGCTGTCCGGAATAAAGAAAAGTTTGAGCATTTCGTCAACATCCTCGAAACACATGTCAGTGGATTGCACAAGCTAGTGTTCGAGGAGCAGCGGAAAGAGGTTCAACGCGAAGAAACTCGTTTCAATCTCCACATGGTCCAAGAGATTTCTGATATAGAGAGGCTGACACTGCTTCAAAACTCCTCATCGAATGGGGAAAGCTTTCCAGAGGTGGAAGTTGCGCATCTCGCACAATGCAAGGCAATAACGCTGCAAGGAGTACTATCCTTGCCAAGAAAGCCCAAAAATGATGATTGGAGTCTTGCTGACACCAGCTTTGCAAACCTGGCCAAGATTCGTTTCCTCAAACCTGGACATGACGATCCTGAGGCTGCATACTTGTACGAGAAGAAAGAATACGATCCCAACATCTCGGAAGAAGACAAAGATGTCCTGCAAGAGCGCATCCGCAAATTGGTCTCCCTTCTGGGCAAACCTGGCAGCCAACGCCATCTCCAAACTTTGCAAGCAGTTGGATACACGGATGATCCAGACCGTCACTGCTGGTGGATCATCTTTCGGTTTCCGCTAAGTCCACTGGATACATTGGGACCCGCCGCAAGCGAGCCACTTTCTTTGCGCAAGCTCTTCGATGCTCCATTCAAACCCGCGCTTGAAACACGATACAGACTCGCCAGACGTATAGCGTATACCTTTGCTAAGCTCTATGGCAGTGACTGGATGCATAAAGGCATCAACAGTAATAATATCGTCTTTCCGCAAGTCTACTCCACGACGACTGTAGTTGAATTTCGGCAAATTGAAACTGCCTTGGTTCAGGGCTTTGGTTACTCCCGTCAGCATACTGAGGCTCAAACCATTGACCGTGGAAAGGTTCTACATGACCTAGAAGCAGCCATATATCGGCATCCGCTATACCAAGGCGAGGCAGCCTCTGGGTATCAGATCCACTACGACATCTACTCCTTGGGCTTAGTGCTCTTCGAAATTGCCCTGTGGTCTCCTCTCATGGCGTTGCTGGCCGCAAGGTATAAGCCTGAGAAACCACCACCGGTTGCTTTATCGCCAGACATGAAGCAGTTCTATGAGTTTGAGGCAAAGGAGCTTCATAGAAGAGTCAATCTACGAATTGATGCCGAGGTTGCGTATCGAATGGGTACGAAGTATAAGAACGCGGTTCATTGGTGCCTGAACTTGGAAGGGCCAGTCACCGCGATCGAGTTCTACAACACAGTCGCTGTTCCGCTAGAGGATCTTTGCAGCTTGACTTAGTTGGTAATTATTGTAACAGTCAGACCATAAGCGAAACACTCCACTTGGTGGTGGTAGTGGGGCACTTGGCGACGAAGCAGTTTGAGGATGTCTTGAATTGTCGGCCTTCGCCAAGGTGCAGCTCATATCCCAGTTTCGCAAGGCGGGGATCCCGAGGTCTAGACTTTGACGTGGACAGGAAGGCCGCGGAGAGGCAATTTGCGGAGAATGTTGGGCTTCGAAGGATTCTTTAGCCTCGGAATACGAGGCTCCCGCATAGACAACCGGCGGCGCTAGTACTATCCCAATGTCGATACACCCAAACGGCTAAAGATCAACATGCAAGATCGCATTTCATTTTCCACTCTCGTCGAGCTACTTTGTTTGACACATGATGAATGGAGCTCTAGGAATATGTCGTCCTCCAAGGCTGAACGAAGCTATGCCACCACAGGTAAGAAACCTTCAGCCTTACCAGTTTGAGCGCTCCCAAGCTTGATCCTGGAAAGATGATCCGGAATCGTCTAAACGCCTTATACCTATGTGATCCAGATCCGGCGGGACTAAAGTGTGCTTCTGGGAAGAAGATTCGTGTGGCGGGCTGAACAACACTACTGTGGGAAAGGAGCAGACCCTTGTGGCTTGGGATGCTAATTTCACAAGAGAGAATAAAAGAAAAGTAGGTGTGCTCAGGTGAAGTTGGTGGCGCTGAGGTTCAGCTTTGCTTTCCACCACATTATTTGACAGTGCCGGTGTCACCGACTCCAATTATCCGAGTAGACTGAAAGTCTAGAATGACACGAACAATGAACAGCAAGCAGTCCGACCTTACAAGGTGTCTATAAAACTCTGCTTCACTTCATTTCATTGCTCCACTCACATCTGATCCAGCGGAGTAGCCTACAGCATTTCAGCAGCCTCCATTGTCTCTCACATCCCGCCATGCACTTCAGCAAGATAGCCGGGCTGGCTCTGAGTCTTACAATCCCAGCTGCTGGTATCTCCGTTCCTCGAAGTCCAGTTCCTGAGCCCGCATCTCCAATAGTCTCGAAGTTGTTCTGTGACGTTGTGCGTGGCCTCGTTACTGTCGCAAAGCAGCAAACTCAGGCCACACCCTTCTGCTCTTCTTACCTCAAGATCCCTGCAGTAACAAAGACTTCCACAAGAACTTCCTTTACTGCGTAAGAGTATACCCGTATCTATGTCCTATGTTGTGTTGTTGTTGCTGATAGCAAGCAGAACCGTCACACAGACTAACACAATCACGTCTGGATCTATCACGACCACTGACGCGACCGTTACGGCTACTGCAGAGGCGACTCAAACTAACTACGCTTCCACGACCGTTACGGAATTTACCACGATAACATTAACCAGTACCACGGTCTCTAGTACTACCACACTCTCCCCCAGGTGTTTAACCATCCGGGATGAGCAAAAGCGAGCGGCTGCCGTTGCCACAAAGAAGCCTACATGCCTCGCGAACTATATCGAAGGTCAGGCTCTTAGCTCGGCTTGCAAGTGTCTCTCCGTACCTACCACCAGCACAACTTGGACGGCAGTCGTAAATATTCCCGCAACTACAACAACTTCAGTCACAGTAAGCATTTGAAAGCTTTGACAACTCGGATGTTTAGTCACTAATCTATGCTCTTTCGATCAGGTACCCAGAACAGTTGTCGCTACTGCGACCATAACGCAGACCAACACTGCTACAGCCACTGTCACGAACACTGCTACAGCCATTGTCACGAATACCGAAACAGTGACTTCCACAATCGTCACGCAGACAACTGAGCTGATAGTTCCGACTGTACTTCTTCTATGCTAGCTTACATTGGTGCGCGATGCAGTACTTTAGTGCAATCGATCCTATCTTATAGCCGTACAATAACACAGAGCCGATGAGCCATTTTCAAGTTCGGTAATACATCCATCAAACCTATGCACAGATACCTCTGAAAGAGAGTGACTGCCAGACTCGAGAAACAGCAGTCCACATCGTGATCGTTCCTATCATCGCCTACACTGCAGCTGGAACAATTTTGAGCAAGCTTTCGCTAGCCTTCGATTGTACCAGATAGTGTATTGAACACTCAATCTTAGCTACGACCCTATACTATACAGTACAACACGAGTGATAAGACAGGCTTCATTCGACTTTTGTAGCAAAATTAACGTCCCTACCTCCACCGCGCGCTGTTCCCCGGCCCTCCACTACTCCTGAACAATAAAACTCCAACACCCACTGCCACAGCACCAAGGAAGACCCACTGCGGAATAACAATATCAGTATCTCTCCTCTTACTGTACCTCCTAGCCTTCTCCGCATAGATCTTCTTCCTCAGCGCCCTCTCTTCTTCGTCCACCTCCACCGTCCCATCTTTGATCTTCACATTCTCCACTTGTTGCACGTCGCCCTTTCTCCTCTTCACTTCCCTGAGATAATCCCGTATAACAGGATCCACTTCTCCGCTCAGATCCACAAACGGCATATCCTTGACTTCAACACCCTGATCAAGCGGAGTAGCAACATTCAAGCCCCCAACCACCCCCTCCTTTGCCGCCCTTCTCCCTTTATCAACGAGCTCGTCATCTGGCAGCCATTCTCCCAGTGTATCAGAGGGCAACGACCTAAAAACAAGACACATCCACATCTCCAGCACATTCATCACCAAACCGGACCTCTCCATGCCCGCCACCAAAGACGAAGAAGAAGAAGAAGAAGAAGAAGAAGGAGGAAGAACAGCACACACCCCAAATACATTATACACACTCCACTCAAGCGCATAGTAATGCAAGCTAGGATGATCTCTACGATATCTAAAGTTCAAATGCTGAGCCACTCTCTGCCTCAGATTGCCACTCTGTCCCACGTACATGCGCAGACGCTTGTCAACGCCAAGGATGCCGTTGAAGTAAATGGCACCTCGAGTCTCAAGCCGCAAGTCGCCGCCAACATGTTTCAGGGCATCGAGAGATAGTCGGGACGAAAGCAAAGTCCAGAGTTGGGGCCGGATCATGGAGTAGAGAGAGGTGGTCAGGGTGGGGATGCTATGCTGATTGATCCATGCGGAGTACTCGTCGTAACGTGGGTTCGTGGCGGTATCGTCATCTTTTGGCTGGGAGAGCCGCGTTAGGAGATGTGTGAGTATGGTCCGCGCTTCGAGTTGGGGTGGGGTTAAAGTTGTCTGGCTTGTCTGGTTCGATCTCGCTGGATTGGTCGACATTGCTGGAGCTGGTGGGATTTGATGGGGTGATGGTAGTGTTGTGGACAGGGACGAAGCTGATTCGTTGCAAACTTCTGCAGCCGCCATAGTCTTTTACTCCTTTTTGTAGGATGTCTCCGGACAGTCGTGGTGGAATATGTATATTTGGGAACCTAGGTAAATGGGCTGTAGACGGCTAGCGTCTAGGCAGCACATGCAAGGTGTGGCCGCCTCTTTCTCAAAGACACAGATGCAACGCCGATATCACACTGCAACTAGACTACCGACTTTTCAAGGACATCGGAACGGGTATTGTTCTCTGATGTGGATGTTAGCTGTAATGTATCAGCATCTAGGAGCAAGGGCCAGATGTTGTTGGGTTCGATGAGGCTGAAGTTTAGCGCCCGTCTTACCTACCATATCGGGCAACTTTTGAAAACTGTCGAACACGGCATCTCGCACTTGACCTGGCGCCTTATTCAACTCGGCCACTTGGCGATCGTACGCAGGTACACCATTGGATAGCCAAGCATATATCAACAACATGAGCTACAAGACCAAACAGCGTCAACACAATGGAGATGACGATATGCAAAGACCAGCTCGTCAGTGATTGCTATTGGAGAAATTGATTCAACACTACCGTCTCACACTACTCGCTCACATCAAAACTGTGCGCTCGTACCGCGCTCTATCAGAGACCATCCCACCTCCCATCATACCACAACCTCCCCTCGAACCCATTCCGATAATAAGTGCCCGTTTCAGTAATCTCGCGGCCCTGATCATCGCCAAACCACTCATCATGCGCCCACCACTGAGGTCTCAGCCTTCTCCCGTACCGTACAGGAAAACATCTGATGGGCCCAGCCTGCGCCGTGATAGGACAACGGATGTTCTACTCTTCAATCGTCTTGACGCATTCCCAACCCCCGCTCAACCTTTCCTTCCACAAACTAACCCGGTTGTCGCCCGTGCTAATCGCAAGCGCATTGCCGCTGAGACTCCAGCTCACGCGCCACGCCGCAGCGTCAACATCGATCTGCGTGCGCTTCCACTCGCGCAGGTCCGAGGAAGTCCAGATGGAGACGGTTTTGTCTTGAGACGCGGAAGCGATGTAGGATTTGGAGAGGACGGTGGGGGACCATGCTACGTCGCGGACCCAGTCGCCGTGGATCCCACTGGTTCATGTTAGTCTAGTACATGTTGTCAAGTCACTCAAAGGACATACAGTAGTGTTGCGTTCCAGCTACCGCTCTCAGGACTGAATTCCCAAACCTTGACCTGGCAGTCGCTACCTCCAGTAACAAGTCGTTTCGCAGCTCCAGCCTGGTTCCCACTCGCGCTCATGACCTGTCCCGGCGCAAAGGCAGGTGCCCAGCTCACGCTGTTCACGCCTGTGCCATGCGCGGGGAAGATCTGGTGTGTCCAATTGTTGTCCTTGAATTCGAGTACGGAAACATTGCTGTCGGTCGATGCGCACGCGAGAAGACAGCCTGCCTCGTGCGGGGCCCATGCGACCAGGTTGACCGAGGCGGTGTGGAGGGCGACTTCGTAGATCTTTTGCCAGCTGCCGGATTGTTCGCGCCAGATGAGGACTTTGCCGTCATACGAGGACGAGGCGAGAATGTTGCCATATTTGGGGTGGGCCCATGCTACGCTCCAGACGGCGCCCTCGTGGCTGTGGCAGTCAGCGGACAGATCGTGGAACGCGGTGGTGAGTGACGTACCCTCTCAGTGTCTCGACTAATGTGTGCTTCTCACCCTCCACCTCGAAGATCTTAATGGTCTTGTCTGAGGAACATGTCGCGAGCCGCCTGCCGTAGTAGTCCAGAACGGCATCATGCTGTACCTCGTTAATATACATTGGAGACGGATTCCGGCTTGCCATTGCGCGAGTGGGCGGCCTGGAAAGGACAGAGGCGAGGTGAGGATGGAGGCGGGTGAGGATAGAGGCGAGGGTCTGTGGTGTGTGTATGCAGAACGTACAATCATGTCATCGTGGCCCGAATTCGCTATAACGTTGGCCTGGAGCGGAAGTCGCAAGTTAGCGGGAGCAGCTTGGGCGCGTTGGTGGGGATGTGCTTGCCATTTTCGTTGTGATGTTGCTCTGGCAGGAGGCAGTGAGGGAACGCAGAGGTAGAGCAGTTGTTTGTAGGCGGCCAAAAAAGTGTGTAGGCAGAAGTATGAGCAGGCGCGTCCAGACGTGTCCACAGCTTGAAAGTGCCCCAGAGTTGGTTGATGCTGCTGTGGCCTCAATGCAGGGGTCTAGATGAGATAAGATTAGATCAAATACCTCGACGCGCTAGCACCGCCCAACGCCATCACATGCAACACTACCTCGCTTGGGGTCCGACTCTCTACACTTCATCATGGCTTATTCGTCCCCAGTTCACTCTCAAAACTTCTACCAACTCGACGCATCGACGCCTCCACCCCCGCCTCCAAAGCCAGGACGTTCAAGTGGGAATGCGACTCCATCACAGGGACCTCCATTGCCCCCACCCCCACCGGGTCAGTCATCGTATCCGGGGGATCAGCAGCAAAGCCCTCGTGTACAGCAGCGATATTCTCAGATAGACTCCGAGCAACCCACAGTCCAACCGCCCGAAGATGGGTGGCTACCTGACGTGCTCAAGGACAAACCGTATGCCAAGTCTGCGTCATTGATACATGCACCACTAAGGTACGAGTAGGACCAAGGACTTGCACCATGTGCTTCAAACATCGGAACTGCAGCATGCTATAGTTCACAATCCCGATACAACACATCCATCGCTGCCAGCATCAATCGCGCCTCTACAGGCGCTTCTTGCACAGAATGTGGGACTTGCAGAATCACTCAAGCAGCTTGAAGCACATGTGCAGCATCAGCGTGATGGCACACAGTCGCGTCTACTGGCACTCCGTGCTTTGGAACGTCAGTGGAGAGCAAAGCAGACTGAACAGGACGAAGCACTCCGAGAGTTCAGTCCGCCGGCCCTGTATCAGCGACTGAGTGCTTCGGTAGGCGAGCAAGAGGCTCTCTGCCGGGGACTGGAAGAGAGCTTTCTCGAAGGCGAAGGCTTTGGCGGTGGAGACGCCGTTGCCAGCGATCGAGAAGTAACGGACTTTGTAAGGCGCTTGAGAGAAGGCCGGAAGATTGCGTACCTTCGAGCAGAGCGCAAGGAGCGATGGGACGAAGGTCGGGTTGGCGGTTGGCGGTGATCCACCTTGAACTTATTATAACTACTAATATCAGACCACGCACCAACCGTCGCATCGTCGAGTCGGTGCTGGAATTACCAAATTGAAATTGCCATTGCCATGGCATGATAGTTATGCGGCGGCGGAAGTCGGAAGCATGCCTGAGAGTCAAGGCCGCAGGCACATGCTAGTCAGGGCGCGAGATATGCGCCCGTGGCTATGAATCTAAGATTGCATCCCCAGGGGCCTCGTCATCTCCGTAGGAACATACCTCACCGTTAGCTAAGATAGGCCGAGAGGCTGGACTTGTCCCCACGACTCATTGCGATGAGCACTGTCCGTCGTTCGCGGCTGAGCCACATCCCAAGACAGATGCCCCTAGCGTGATGACTTCCGCATTTGGCTGATTCCGTACGCGTCGGAAGATTGCGCGATGCCAAAATGAAGGTGAATGCAAGCCACCCGTTGCGGGTGTCACATGGCAGGGTTGCGTTTGCTATGCACTGGGACCGAATCCTGTGAGCGGTGATGGCGCTTCGTGGAGTGTTTCATGTCCTCAGGCGCCTCGGCACATCGCCCTCTCACCGTGTGTGTCAGCGTCAACGTCAATCGGAGCGCGCGACTCTGGAATCACCATCCACTTTGAAGGCGAGTATGCTCCCGAATCATATACAGCATCGCAACCTCGACGACATCGTCCAAGAACCGCCCCCTTAGTCCGCCGCGCTTATTGGCCGGCTAAAAAGTGTACCTGCAGCGCCGGACGCAGCCCCCCTGGCGCGGCTCGCTCCACTCGAGCAGCGCGAACCGCCCATCGCGGCCAGGTGCTGACGGATGAGCGCGTGGATTTGACCAATTCCAGGGCCGCGATCTGCTCTTCAACCCCAAAGCGCCCCTTCGCCGGCACATGTACCTGGGCTCGCTAGGCGGGTCCCCTTTTTCGAACAACCGACTTTGGCTGACTCTGTACCTCTCTTTGCGCTCATCATTTGTGCATGCCATGTCTATCGCGGGGGAATAATACGATAATATGCAAGCAGTCCAAGCGTCCCCCGAGGGCGCGCATCCTCCCAACAACGCCTCGCCGCCTCGCCAAAAGGGCTCGTCCCTGGCCTCGATTGCCATATCGTCTTTTGCTGCTTTTCGCTCCCAGTCGTCCCAAGCTGTGCCTGTCGCCGTCCAGTCCCCGGTCCGCAGGAAGCCCCTACCTGCAAACTCTCCCGTAGTTGGTCGCTTTGCTGCCGATCGACAATCTAAAGAACCGTCAATCGCTACAGTCTACCCTGATAAGCACTCTGGTCCCCCTACTCAAGGAGGACGCGCCCCCGACAATATCCTTTCGCCGCCGTTGAGTGACGAGGACCTCTTCCCGCCCCGGAACCTCGACGAGTGAGTGTTTACTTCTTCCTCGCCACGCGCGCCTTCCTTTCCTTGACACTCACTAACACAACACAGCAACCCCCATGGAAGGACGCCTCTGACGGCAGCCGCGCCCCGCCGATTCTCCCAGTCGTCTCGTGCAAGCTCTCTCTCGGTCGCAAAGCGAGGCTCCAACAAAGCTCTCCCCTCCGTCCCGTCTGCCGCGCGGCATGATCGATCGGTCAGCGGCATCACCCCCCAACGACAGAGTAGGACCGAGGCACTGAAGGCCTTCGGTATCCGGGGAGCACACGCTCGATCTCCTACTATGCCGAATATGCCCTTGTACAACAACAACAATAATAACAACAACAACTCGCAACCGCCAGACCTTAAACTCGACCTCAACGGTGTTACCGAGGACTTCATGGACGACTACAATTACGGTCCCGACGAGCCTTCACTCGCGAGACAAAACACAAAGCCCAAATCGCCAAGCGGAGGTGGATTCACTTCCTTCTTTGGCTGGAACTCGCGTCCTCAGAACGGGCCCGAGTCACCGGCTACCGCTTTCTCAGAACATTCGTCACCTGAATCTCCACGCTACAAACAGCCCACGTCAAAATCGAAACCAAACGGCTTGGACATACCCGCTGCCAATTCACTCGGCTCCTATTTCAACGTCCCTGGAACCCCACTTCTATCGTCCTCGCCCCAGATGAATGCTCACGTAGAGGAGCTGGAGCGCGAGTTGCGCGAGGTGAGCTCTGAACTTGCCGCTTCTATTCAAAGGGAGATGGAATTAGAAGACGAGGTTGAACGCTGGAAGGCTGCGAGCGAGAGTGTCATGCCTGACAACCGAAGGACTAGTGACTATTACTCAGACTCTGGTACGAGCTCGATACGCTTTCCTATCAGTGATCCCGAGGCCAAGCTTGAAGAAGTGGAAATGCAACGGAGAAAGGCAGAGCAGGAGCGAGCATCACTAAAGGTGCGCATGGCGGAGCGGTTACAAGAGGAGCTGCGACGCCGAAGAGATTTGGAAGAGCAAGTACAGCAGCTCGAGGATCAGGTCACCGACAAGTCGAGAGCAGGCTCAATGGTGGAAACACCCAAGGTCAAAGAGCTTTCCATGTCACTCGAGGATGCGAAGAGGCGCCTGGCCGAAGAAAGGCAGGTCAAAGAAAATTTCGAGGATCTCCTCACGGCGCTTCGCGATGAGCTAGAGAAACATCGCAACGAGGCTGACAATTTGCGGGACGAAGTGGTACCGCAGCTCAGGGCGCGCCTCGAAGTGCTCGAAGGCGATGCAGCCGATACAGAAAAGCTTGTATACGAGACTACGCGCATGCAACAAGAGATCCAACAATTACGAACTGAGAACGAGTCTCTAGTCAAGCAACGACTGCAGCAGCAACAGGCGCCACAACCCGCGCAATTCCAGTCCATTGCCGAAGAAGGAGACATTGGCCCTTTGCCAAACCTGCGCGTCGGCCTGACACGTTCGAATTCACTCGCACGCAGTGGCCTGAACTCGAAGAGGAGCTCGTTGTCACGGTCCAACTCGGTCAAGGACAGGTCAGGCGACATATCGCCGGTTGGTGCACCAACAGTTACCAACCCAATGAAAGAACTAGAAGAGCAGCGAGACGCGCTCCACAAGGCACTCAAACTCCTGTTGAATCGCCAAGAATTACAACAAAAAGAATTCCAGCGCCGCATCAAAGAAGTAGAAGCCGAAAGAGACGCCGCCCTGAACCTCACCCCTCGCCGGACCGCATTCCACAAGGAAGTCACTGGTCTCCGCCAAGAAGTCAACAATCTACGTCGCCGCGCCGACGAAGCCCTCGAGCAAAAATGGCAGTGCGAAAAGGGTCTTGGGGGTCTACGAATGGACCTTGACCGCGCACAGCAAGAGACTGGTTCTCTCCGCGAGTTACTCCGCGAACACGACATTTCAATCCCGGAGATAAGGATAGAAAACGAACCTCTGGCCTTGGATAAGGCATACAACGAGCTACGAACTACGCATGCTCTTTCACTCGCTCGCGTCAAGCAGCTCGAATCCAGCGATGCAGACTCACTCGGTGCTGCCGGTGCCGAAGCAGAACGCACACTGGATCTACTCAAGCAGAGTATCTCTGACGCAGAAGCCGAACGTGACTACGCACAGAACGAAGCAGAGCAATACCGCAAACAAGCTCGTGCGCTCCAACAGTCCGAGATTGAGCACTTGGGCAAGGAGCAAGAGCTTAGCAAAGAGCTGTTTGCGGCAGCTACCCGCATGGATGAGCTGTCTGAGAAGATCCAGCAGCAGCTTACTGCTAACAGTGCGTTGAGGAGTCGTCTCACCGATGCTATCATGCGCGGTGAGCAGGACCAGCGCAGGTCCACCGAGCAAATTATCCAGCTAGAGAAGCGTCTCAAGGCCGCCGAAGACAAAGTCATGCTCGCTCAACAGTCTTCCGAAGAAGCCGTCGCTCGTCACGAGGACGAGGTCCAGGCTATCAAAGAAAGCCACACAAACCATCTTCGCCGTGTGAAATCCGGTCTCCTTTCCCCGTCAGCGTTCTCGCCTAGGCTGCCGAGTAGTCCGGTCTTCTCGCAGAGATCCCCGAGGTTGGATGTTACTTCCAGTGGACCCGCTATGAGTCTTGCTGAAGCCACAAAGACGGAGAGTCTGGAGAAGAGAGTTGAGGAGCTGGAGAAGGCGCTTAGGGATGCGGATCACGAGATGGAGGAGGTCGTTGGTAGGATGAACTTGGCGCAGATGGAGGTTGCGGATTTGCAGTTTGAAAGGTATGTCTATGCTAATATGGATACTATCGATGAGGGGTGGGCACTAACGATTCAACAGGGACGAGGCTATGCGTCAGACACGCAAACTACAAGCTGAGATTGTGGCTGAGCGCGAAAAGGTCAAGGCGTTGATGGCCACAAGCGCATGAACGACGTGATGTTGCCAACACGTACAAGTTCAGGTCGTTGCCCGACGCAAAAAGGTCAACGCAATAATGGCTATGAGCGCATCAAAGAATCTGGCCGCGACTGCATAATGACTATGCCGACATCTTATACACGATCATCTTCTCTTTGGCTCTTCGACTCTTCGACTAGCTCATCTTCGGTACCAACGTATCGTATTTCGGGACGTTTTCTTACATCTTTGGCGTTTTACGGTCCCCCGGTTACCGCTACCGCATTTACCCACGATGGGCTTCACGATCACACGCATACTACTTCTCTTCACCCCTTTACATATTCATATATTGTCTTAGTATAACCTTTCTCTTGGTCAGTTCTGTGGGACTAGGATGTTTGTTTCTCGGCAGACTTTTGTCGTCGACTTGTTTTATACCCGTCCGTGGTATCATCAGTGTTGTTGTCGTTGATGGGGCTTGGTCTTGCGTATATTCTGCGGGCCTTGTTTGGCTTTGAGCCTGGCATTGGATGGGCGGATGGTAGTATGGGGATAGCCACTCGCCTTGGCGGATGCGAAGCACCTTATTGTGGTTGTGTACTATAATGGTTCAATGGATGATGGTTGACGTTGTTATATCTTTGTCATAGTTGTGACTGTGTATGTGCACTAACTGTGTGAAGTTCTGGATGCATCTGTTGTCCAAGAACCCGGAATTAGGCAGCTAGAGGCAAGTGTTGCACCCTACATTGCAAGCTACGTTTGCCTGCAAGAAAATGACGATTATGCGTACAGGGAAGACTATGTATAGGGCGGAAGATTTAGTTAAGATGCGTACGTATACTACGTCCGGCTTTTGGGATGGTACTGGGGATATACTTTGCCCGCTCGTCCGTAGAACGGCCATCTAGACCTATAAAGTCAGATTCAACATCTTTAGAAGAGCACTAATAACGGAGAGCTTGTCCTTCCGACTGTCCGAAGTTGTGAAGTTCACCGGCATCTATTAGGTTTTGATACAGTATCTTCTGATGCACGGAGTTCAGCCCGACAAGTTAGGTAGAACTACGCTAGTCGTTGTTTTTTTGGTGTCGGGTCTTCCAATTCCCGGGATCCGGTTCTATACCGTCGTATGCCGTATTGCTCGCGTTTACTGCATGGGGAACATGGCTTTTGGCATGGATGACGGAAAGACAAAGAAAACCTATTTAGGGGTTATGATGACCTCCGACTTGAACATTGCAACGACAGAACAACATTTTACCAAGGACTGATTTTTCCTTTTCTCAAATCTCCGACTCCCACTCGGCCGCTTTCAAGATCTGTTCGTTTGCAATAATAATAATAATAATAGTAATAATAATGCTAGGACCCAACGCCCAATCCGAGAGTGTTGCGACACCTTTCAACGATGACTGGTCTTTCCGCTGCATTTCCCCTTCCCCGTCTCAAACCCAAGAATGGTGCCCTATAAGCCTTCCCCATGACGCCATGTTATCAGCAGGCCGCTCCGCAAATGCACCATCTTCTACCCACGGCGCCTTTTTCCTCGGCGGCTCGTACATGTACCGCAAAACCTGGCACGTACCCGAGTCTCTGCGTGGGAAGAAGATATCCCTACTCTTCGACGGCGTGTACCGGCACAGCCGTGTGCTGGTTAATGGGACAGAGGTGGGTGGGTGTGTGAGCGGATGGACCGCTTTCGAGGTCGATGTCAGCATGGCGGTGAAATACGGGGGGATGAATCTAGTTGAATTGGAAGTTGAAAATGAGGGACAGCCGGGTGCAAGGTGGTATACTGGGTCTGGCGTTCACCGGGGTGTCAAGCTGGTGGTTAGAGGAAGAAAGGGGCATGCGGTGTTGAGAAAGGATGGGATTAGGCTTGTTACGAAGATTTTGGAAGGCGTCGGGATGGTGATTGTTGATGTTGGTGTTATACTCGAGAATGCTTTGGGAGAAGAGGTGGATGTCAAGGTACGATTTACAAAGGATGGGCATGAGAAGGGCATGTGGGAGGGTAAGACGAGAGGGCGTGAAATACACGGAACAGTGGAAATGGAGGATGCGAGTTTATGGTCTGCGGAGGAGCCTTTTCTCTACGACTGTGAGGTGCATGTCGGTGGGGATGTGGACCGCTTTCGCTATGGATTACGGACGATTGGATGGGGACCGAAGAACGGGTTGCTGATTAACGGCGAGACAGTCAAGTTGCGGGATGCTTGTGTCCACGCCGACAACGGTATACTTGGAGCCTGCAGCTTCAAAGCCGCAGAGGTACGTCGAATGAAGTTGCTTAAGGCGTCTGGCTTCAATGCCGTACGCATGAGCCATCATCCGGCGAGTGAGGCCCTGCTCGAGGCGTGCGATGAAGTGGGCATATATGTCATGAACGAGTACGGAGATTACTGGTTCGAGGCAAAGACGGACCACGACGAGGCAAGACATTTCCAGGAGCAATGGAAAAAAGACGTCGAAGCCATGGTAGCCGGATCGCGGAATCATGCCTGTGTCATCATGTATTCCCTGAGCAACGAAGTCACAGAGCCGAAATCCGCTTACGGACATGCCATGGCAAAGTTGTTGCTGGACTACACGAGGACGTTGGATCCCACACGCCCCAACACAATCGCCATAAACCTCCTCCTAGCAACGCTCTTGTACTCTAAAAAGCCACCAGGAGACCCACATGCACCGCCTCGTGCATCTGGCTCTGCAACCGGCGGACTGGGAAGTTCATTGATCAACGTCCTGATCTCGCTCTTCGTCGGCCTCATGGACTATGTGCCTCGACTCCCGTACTGCAACGCCATCACTTCATCTCTCTTCGCTTACATGGATATCGCGGGTTACAGCTACGGGTCCTGTCGATACACTACGGATGCTTCCTTGCATCCCGGGCGCATCATGCTAGGCACCGAGACGCTTCCACGTGATGTCGCGAGGAATTGGGCCATGGTAGAACGCATATCGGCTTTGATTGGCGATTTCATGTGGACGGGCTGGGATTATATCGGCGAAACCGGACTGGGTGGGTTTGAATACGATGGGCCGTGGTACTCGCCTGGGATGGTATATAAGAATTATCCGTATCTGGTTGGAGGACGTGGCGCGTTGGATATCACCGGTTTGCCAAATGCCTCGGCTTTTGTTGCGCAGGCGGCTTGGAAAAAGATACATGGGGGACCCATCATCGCCGTTAGACCGCTCGATGTGTCGGACCTGCGCTATCGCACGACGGTGTGGCGGTCTTCAGACGCGATAGTGGGATGGGGATGGAAAGGCCGCGAGGGACAAATGGCATACATTGAGGTCTTCAGTCGGGACGAAGAGATTGAACTCCTGCTCAATAGACGCAGTCTGGGTAAGAAAAAGATCGGGCTGGACACAAACTACACAGCGCACTTTACAACTCCATACGAACCAGGACTCGTCGTCGCTGTCGGCTACTCCGCTGGTAAGGAAACTTCTCGGTCTAGCATCCAGTCTGCTGGCGCCTCTTCCATTCGCATCACCAACGAGTCTGGGAAGACGCCTCTTAAAGCCGACGGCCAGGATCTGGCGTTTCTGCGATTGGAGCTGCAGGATCAAGATGGTGTTGTGGAGATGGGTGACGACGATGAGGTGGAAGTTGTGGTCAAGGGCCCAGCAAGTCTTGCTGGGTTGGGGTCGGCAAAGCCCCAAACGACGGAGCGGTTTGATGATAACATCCATTGGACTTATCGTGGCAGAGCGTTGTGCGCTGTTAGAGCGGGGAGGGAAGGCGGGAGGGTGGAAGTCATGGTGAAGAGTAAAAGACACGGGGAGGCGAGTGTTGACATTGTACAGCGTTTGGAGGAGATGTGAACAAGGAGCATTCTCACCAATTTCATATTGCATGATTGAAGCGTTCAACCGCACCGCACCGCGTCTTCACGTGACTGGCTTGTCTTTGATCCATGTATCCTGACACGTGCCTCTTGTCGTGGATTGTCGGTGAGGCTCCTATCGATAGGCTCATGTACTCGAGTCCGGGGTTTGGAGGCACAGCAGCAGCGTGGCGGTAGACGGGACGCGTGCCGTGCTGGCTCAATGCAGAGAGGCGGCACAAGCAAAGTGAATAGCCAACACGGGAGTGAGCACATGCGTCGACTTCACCGGGTGTCTGAAACACATTGAGGTGTTGCAAGTGTTCCCCGCTGTGGTGGCCCCTGCTGCACCCTAAAGTTATCCCTGACCGAGCTACTGCGGCAGTCCCCAGCACCTCCCTCTCCTTGCCAGCGCTGCACTGAAGAAACCTCTGCAGTGCGAACACCGTCTCGACCGCCCAGACTCGCACCTCCTTCCGCTATTGAGCCAACCTCCAAGGCGTGATCCACGGCCGCACACCGACTCCCCCCGACTCCCCTCCGAGTGCATCGTGTACAACGACTCGCCCACGATGAACAACAACCAGCAGGGCAACCGCCTGCAGCTCAACTTTGGCTTCGGCGGCGGCGACCGAAACAACCAGTACCAGCAGGAAGTGGGCAGAGCATTCCCCACGACGCCCTCGACATTCCCGCAACCTGTATACCCCAACCAGGCCGGCCAGCAAGAGGTCTGGGGCGCCCAGCAGGGCAATGGCTACAATGGCGGCGGCGGCTACTTCATGAACCCCTACCAGCAGGCACAATACCAAGGGCAGCAGGGCAACCTCCAGGCGCCAGGCAGCCAGCGCTTCGATCAGAGTGCCAATGGCCTCGCCCAACAACTCTCGCACCAACACCTCTCGGGCGGCGGTCGCTCTGGAAGCCCGTACGGCCGACAAGGCTCGCCCAACCCCGGACGCCCCCGCACCGCAGACAACAGAGGAGGCTACGGCTATGGAAGCCAGGGCGGCAGCTCAGGGCCCCGCCAGGGCCCCTCGCTGTACGACGAAGAGGCGCCTCAACGAAACCCCACAAAGTACTCGGAGAACGTAGACAAGCAGGCCATGGTCTCCAAGAGTCTGATCAACACCTTCTTCAAGGACAGCGTACAGCGGGCACGCGACCGGAATCAAAGGTCAAACCACCCCACCACTCCTTGCCCGACACAACTAACTTGCCTGCAGAGCTCTCGAACTCGATGCCATCATGAAGGAGCCCTCTTTCTCCGACAGCCGGAAACGATCCAAAGAAGACAGCATGCGCCGTGCAGAAGTCGAATACTTGCGCTTCCTGCGGACAAAGGAGAAGCCCGACAACTTCTCCACGCTCAAGATTATCGGCAAGGGTGCTTTTGGAGAGGTCAAGCTGGTCCAACGGCGCAACGACGGCAAGATCTATGCGCTCAAGTCGCTTGTCAAGCAGGAGATGGTGAGTATCCACAATACACCACCTCAAGTATCAGGCTGACTTGTTGTAGTTCAAAAAAGACCAGCTGGCCCACGTACGGTCAGAACGTGACATTCTCGCCGAGTCCGACAGTCCTTGGGTTGTCAAGCTACACACAACCTTCCAGGACAACACGTTCCTCTACATGCTTATGGAGTTTCTGCCAGGTGGTGACTTGATGACCATGCTGATCAAGTACGAAATCTTTACCGAGGACATTACGCGCTTCTACATGGCCGAGATCACGCTTGCGATAGAAGCAGTCCACAAGCTTGGTTTCATTCACCGGTAAGAACAAAGTACTGGCGAGCTTCAGCGTGCAAGTCTAATCTTCCTAGCGACATCAAACCCGACAACATTCTTCTCGACCGAGGCGGCCACATCAAGCTGACAGATTTCGGTCTCTCGACCGGCTTCCACAAGGAGCACGACGCAGGCTACTACAAGAAGCTGCTCGCAGGCGGCGCCCACAAGTCGAACAGAGACAACCGACAATCCATGAATCTCGACCAGATCCAACTCACTGTCAGCAACCGTACCCAAATCAACACATGGCGTAAGTCTCGTCGCCAGCTTGCCTACTCGACCGTCGGTACGCCTGACTATATTGCGCCCGAGATTTTCAGCGGCCAGGGCTACGACTACAGCTGCGATTGGTGGTCGGTGGGTACGATTATGTTTGAGTGTTTGATCGGCTGGCCGCCGTTCTGCGCTGAAGAGCCGCATGATACTTACCGCAAGATTGTTGATTGGCCGAGGAACTTGCATTTCCCTCCTGACCAGCAACTTGGTGCTGAGGCTGAGGACTTTGTTCGCCGGTATGTCTTTTCTTCTTCTCACTTGGGGCCTTGTTGTTCCCGAGCCCCAGTCTTGGCGGTGAGAACCCTCGAATACTGACATTTGAAATTATAGTCTGATATGTGACGCCGAACACCGCCTTGGCCGCATCGGCGGCGCCAACGAGATCAAACAACACCCCTTCTTCAGAGGTGTCGCCTGGGACGGTCTCCGCCGTATCCGCGCGCCGTTTGAACCTAAGCTGCAGAGTAACATTGATACTCAGTATTTCCCGATTGATGAGATTGACCAGCAAGATACATCTGCTGCGCATCGGGCGCAGGCTGCGCAGGCGGCTAATGAGGATGAGTATGCGACGAGTTTGCCGTTTATTGGGTATACGTATAAGAGGTTCGATGCGTTTAGGGGGTCGTAGACGCCCCGTTGTCGTCGTCGTCGTCGGGCGGTGGGGAAGAAGGGAGGAAGAAGACGAGGATGATGATGATGATGATGGAAGAGGGAGGAGGCGTTGTTCATGAGGGAGTGGGGAGCTATATGTGTTCTTCAGACTAGGAAAGCATCATGGTGGTTCGTTCGTTCGACTTGGGGGGGAAAGAAGGCACACGAGGTTTCTTTGTCTTTTTTTCGTCCTTGTCCAACTTCCCCCCCCCCACGCCACGTCCTCCTCCCCCGCTGTTCCTTCTACGAATATGGCACATGCTCTGGCTGGCTGGCTGACGGATACCATCATATTAGAACAATATACTACTAGGAAGTGTTCGCGCATTGCGCGCAGATTATCATGGCGGGGAGGCGTCACAAGGAAGAAATGAAAGCTTTTTCTTCTTTACCCAGGTAAAACGCAGATGTGGCAAGAGAGGTACTTTGTCAATTTGTGAATTCATGTTTTGTGATTGATGATGCAAATGGGATTGTTGATGACTTGACAAAGAGAAAAGACTCGAGTTATTCTGCTATGGCTATATACATGCCTTTTTTTTTTGCCTTGTAGCTTGTGTTTGGCGAGAAGTTGCTCCGGCAGATTGAACTCCTTGTACTGATGCTTGCTTAGTTCTATGAGTTGAATGAAGAGAAAAAGATTGGTATGATAACTTCGTTGTTCGTTCTTGGCTGGCTCCTCTCCAATGTTGGCAAAGTTTGGTCGCTTGTTTTGTCTGTCTGTCTGTCTGTACGTCTGTTCTGACGATGTGTGAATACATATATGCCATTACGCCCCGTTGAATCTTCTGGAATGACTCGCTCTCGTGTTGTTGCACAAGACTACAACACACCAACGCCCCTGTTCTTCAAGTCTTGTGATGTTGAACGCTTTAGAACGTTCTTCCGTTTTCGCTTCCCCCATCCTAATCCCAACTACTCCGCTGTATTACAACGTCCATTTTTTTTGGTCGCTCGCCCCCCCGTTTTGCAACTGTGATTCTCGTGATCTTTTCCAACTAGAAGGAAGCTTGTATAGCCGTTTCTCATCGGGCTTCGAATTGGACCATACTAGATTAGGTATATGTTAGTGATTGTTATCTTGGAGTTTTTGCAAATGGGCACTGTTGCTGTTCCACTTGGAAATTGCCGTTCTGTGCTCTTCCGCGTGTAGATGCATGTGTGTGTGTGTGCTTGGAAGAACTCCGTCTGTGCCTCTTTCTCTCTCTCTCTCTCCCTCTTTCTCGTCATTCCACCAGCACATTCCACCCCAAACTTCTTCCTTGCTTCTCTCCTCTCAACCCGCGCATACCCCCCTCTTCCTCTTGTATTCTTCATTGCCTCGTCACGCGCCGCGTCCCTTGTCCTCCGAGACCACAGACACACACCACATGGGGAGAAATATGTTATAACTCACCGGTTAGTCCTCTGCTTGTAAAGCACACGATGACCACAGTTTCTGCACCGGATGGGCTCGCCGCGCTTAAGAGGCACGTCCATGTCGCAGTCGCCGCACTTGTAGTGGACGGTGCGGGCTGTGGCGTCGATGGCGCTGGCGGTTTGGTCGGCGGTGGTGGTTTGCTGGGGTTGGTAGGATGACATGGTTGAGGTATTTGGCGGGTTTGGGGAGGTTGCGGTGTGTGAGGTGTGGGTGTGTATGTGTGTGTGTGTGTGGGTGGTGAGGGTGAGGGTGCGCAAGTTGCAGAGGATGCGATGATGGTTTGCGCCCGGGCCGGGTGCTGGAATCTTGATGGAAAACAAGGGTCGCGGTGGTACGTGCGCGAGGCTTATCGATAGTGGTCATTTTTCTGTCAGAATGCATCTTACTCGTCACAAAGACCATAACCTTGACATCGTGTGGGTGTCATATATAAGAAGCCGAATTCTTCAGCTCTTCCAACAACCATGCACTAGTATTCCTCCATCCTATCACGTTATCCTCCTAGTCTGCTTCTATCGTCGGACTCCACCCATGTGTATCTACCATTCCCATATACGACATACCTATCCTCTTATACGTAGGTCTCATAACGCTATTGATAATGCGCTCACAGAAATACCTCCTACTGTGCCCCGTTTGGAGCTCAATCCAAGGCTGTAGGAAATTAAAACCTCCCACCTCTTTCGATAATAGCTTCAAAACCCTTTCCATGACTCCCTTCGTCCCAAGGCGCTTATAAATACTTGCATTCAGATCTGGAATCTCCTTTCGAAACGTTTCTAGGACTAGGCCTGCGACGCTAGCAACGATTGGGGACGCAAAAGAACTGCCAGTCACTCTAGTGTTATACGGCGCGGCAACGTTAAGACCAGGGGCTGAGAACCGTTCTTGCTTGCGACCACATTCTGTCGATCCAGTATTCGAGAATGGTTTTCCTAAGCCATCTACAGCATCCACTGCAATGACGTCGCGGTGTCGAGCCGGGAAGAGGATGTCGGTTAGCGCTCCGCCGTTGGTTGAGGAGGCAAAGACCAGAATATGTCCCAAGTTTCCTACTGCGTTCAGTGCTTCTTCCACTCCGTCGTCGTCGTCTTGTAACTCCCAACCAAAGGACATATTGATTATATCGACCTTCCACTCCTCGCTGGCTACTTTTAGCGCCCGAACTATGGCATGCCTATCGGGTACCATTGTGTCACCTTCCTCCGTACGTTGAGCTATTCGGGCGATGTAAATTTCGGCATTCGGACATATGCGGGCAACTTGATATGCGACTGCTGTGCCATGGCCTGACTCATCTTCCCAGAAATTTCCTCGCTTTTCTCCCTCGCAAAAGTTCCTGCCACCCCTAATACGAGTTCTGAAAGAGCACTCTGGGTCTATGCCGGTGTCTAAGACTGCAATACGAACCGGCTTAGGACGGGAACCAGTCGTAACACGAGTGTCTTTATCCTTCTTGAAAAGAGGTAGCGTTTTGGCCTCAAGCTTCTCAAACCATTCATCCGCGATGCTATCCACACGTTAGCTGAAATTCCTAGTAGATATCATGGTACACTAACTGAAATGTTCGCTGCCTACCCAAAAACTCATTTTGGAACGTTTCGCGGAATGTGGCCTGCCTATTCGGCGATGAGGAAGAATCATCCTCGAACGGGATACATCTGTGCTTTCTTTGGTCGCTTCGCTGCGTTTCAGAGCTTTGGTATTCCCACCGCTTCCACCAAGCACGCTCAACTATATCATGCCAATGAGAGTATGAAAAGTGATCGTGTCCGGAGCCCGCGTGGGTTGGAGATGTGTAGGTGGTATTCTCATGCTGCAGAGATACTTGAGCGATCAACGTACGGATGTTGTACATTTGGTGGCCCATGGATCTGGCTGAACTCGTCATTATGAAGGAAAGAAAAAAATAGTCAAAAAATGAGGCTAACGATAGTGATGCTATACTAAGTGCCAGGGTATCTAAAGTACGAGTCGGATGGCCTTCATGTTGGATCTAATATATCGATCGACTGCCAAAAGAGGAGTGCGAAAGCCCTCTGGAGAGCCGCAACCGATATCATCTGATACAGCCTGGTTGTTTTATCGTTGCGCTATTGATAGCCTCTCATATCTACCAATCCGGCGATGTAAGCGAATGAATCAGAATGCTCATTTGTCGAACCAAAATGGCTTGCAAAGATGGCGGCGATATTTCGGGTCGAACGAATCGCAGGCTAGTCCGCAGTCCGATTGAGGCTTTTGGTGGTGGTGGCTGCAGCCTGCCTGTATCTCAGCCGCGCTCAGCCTGCCCACCTTCACGTTCGCTACACTGTTACTAAAATAATCTACAGCTCAAGAAGCGACAAGTATATATTGCGGATAACATCATGGAGCCACTGATATCCAGGACTTCATATCCATCAAAACATGTTACAGTACTTCCTTGCGCCAACGCGTGACACACCACCAGAGACGTTCATAAGGCTAGGCAACATCATCGAACAACCACGCTTCGCAGACCGACCACTCAATCGACACCCCCTTCCACCCGGGGAAATCATCGTTGGTCCTGAAACGAGAAACCATGTATTCGAATTCGACAACATAAAAACCTACACCATCGGCATCTGGACCTCTTTCCTTATGCAAATCCTTGGCATCGGCGGAGACATCAACACTCAGATCGCCAAGGGAACAGCGGAAACTTGGGACTGCGAAAGGATCGAGACTGTGTCTTTCAAACCTACCACCGAGTACATCAAGCAAAGTCTTGATTCTACAAATGTCAAACGATACATCCAGGATAACAAGAATTGGCTATGGGATACAAAGCTTTACATGATCACGGGGATAAAGATCGCATACGGGGCCAGGGGGACGATCAGGCATGCGCGGAGCAAAGGCATACATCTACATCTCGGTGTTGATGCGACGTTGGGCTTTACGCTGGTTCAAGCTGGTCCGGATATAGGTGTTGAAAAGGGTCGGAACGTGACACAGGACATTGGCGATAAAGATCCGTTTGTGCTTGCGTTTCGCATGCAGAGGATTAAAGTATCAAGCAAAGGGCAGGTCAGACATGAACGCGTTGATGGCGGTATGCTGAGCGTTGACGACGTTGATGATGAGGATGAAGAAGAGCGAGTGGAGCTTATGGTTGATGGACTGGACAGTGCGGACGCGGATGCCGAGGAGTTTGATATTCGGACCTCGTGGACGGTGGGTGATGAGGGAGCTGAGGATATCAGTTGCGCTCTAGTAGAAGACGATTGAGTTGACGAAGTGATGCGCTCTTCTGTATAGATGCGATGATGCATAGGGGATTTAGACCGGAAGACAAAGGTCGTGATGGTGCGTGCGCAGCGCTTATCGATAGTGCACTTTGCCTCTTTCGACCTGAGGCATTCCATAGTTCTGCGATCTATCATCGACTATACTGCCATCATCATCCATATGTTTGCGCATGTAGGAAGCTACCTATTACCCAAGCTGATCTTCGTGTTTACCACGATGTCCATCCTTTTCGCAAGCGAGAGCCTGGACCGTGATCGAGATGGATGAAGGCTGCCCGAAGATTGACGCCAGGCTGACCTCCGGAAATCTGCACAAGGATGCTTGGATCATGATGCTACACGCGCCGCTCACGGCCTGGGCACTTCTATCGAGACCACATGCAGACAGTCAGCCGATTTGCTGATGCATAGGTTTTCATATCAGTGTCCATGTATGCGCACACTCAGTACCATTCTCATCGTCAATCCAGCTCGCGCGCATAACGAAACATGTCGCACAAGGCTGCGTCTACCCCGCCCTATTACGGTGGCTATGCAGCGCCTCCATGCATTCGGAGGCCGGATGATAAGAACGCTGCCTTGCGCCTGAAAAAGTCATAGCCTTGTCTCCCATTTCCTAAAAGTCTAACTGCACTGCACTGCAATCCGTACAATGCTGTCACGACCGACTCAGCCATCTACTAAGGCTCATCGGCGTTGAAGACTCTCAGCCGCTCGTCAGACACCTTCTGCTGGCCAAAGTCTTGCCTGTATACTCGACGCTTGTACCTTCCATGCATACACTACTTCCTCCATGTCCTCCATTCTATCCATCGCCGGCCACTTGAAGCCTGAGATACGATTGGCTCAAGCTGTTTCTCAGTTCGAGGCAAGCCTTTCGGACAACCAGAAAGTACAATTCCGGAATCAGCGAACACAGTCCCTTCAGTCTTCCCCAAGTACACAGGATGTCATGCGGATCACAGCAGAGATCGACGTCTCGCAAAAGGCGGGAGGACGTTGCTTCGGACCCCGCTTCACCAAGTTCCTCCACGGTGTGCAACAATTTGCTGCGCTTGGCGACGTTGTCGTAGGCAGCTCCCAAAATGTGGTTGCTTGTGGTGTGTGGTCAGTGGTACGCATGTGTCTATTGGTAAGTCTTTCAATTGTTATGTTGATTCAGATCACGATCTACTGTTAAGATACGGGGCATCCTATGCTGAGGTCATCTTGCTTTACCGTGCTTGATCTGACGTCGTGATAATCTTAGACGGCTACAAATCGCGCATCATATCTCGAAAGCTTGTCTCTTCTCCTTATGGAAGCTGGTCAATCGACAAAACAGCACTCAGATCTGGCGCTGTTGTATCCTCGTTCGAAACTACTACAAACGTATATCACCGAATTCTTTATTGTTGTGGTACAGATATGTCTTCGATACCACCGATACGCCCAGAAGTCTGCATTGGGAAAATTCACATCATCGCTCGATGATTCTGATATCAAAGAAGCGCGATCAAGTCTTCTAGTCTGGTCGAGATCAATCCAAGCGGAGATTACCACGCTTATCGCAAGAAGAATTGAAACAGAAGCGGGGAGTAACTCGCGATTCAGAGCCATGATGGACCTCAGCTCGAAGAGCATTGCTCAGCAACAGAGGCAAATCATTATTCGAGCTATGCTAGATCGCTGCTCAACGCATGACTACGAGACTACTTGGAGACAGATTCGAAAATCTGGTAACACAACCTTGTATACGCAGATGCCTGAATATGTTCAGTGGGCAGCAGGGTCAGATCCCAAGACTCTCATCTTGGTTGGCAAACTTGGCTGTGGGAAGTCCGTAACACTTGCAAACATGGTGGACGATCTCAACTTACGCATCGACCCTGCATCCTCGGGACTCGCATACTTCTTCTGCCGACATGATCTTCCTGAAAGTTTGGTTGCGAGGATAGTGATAGGCACACTCACTCGTCAGATTATCAACCTGTTTCCACAACGCTTAGCTAATGTGGAAGCTATGTATACTGAGGGCTTCCGTTCACTCCTAGGCTTAATGGAACGGGTTGTGCCTCGCCAGCACGCCGTTTACATAATACTTGATGGCCTCGATTTGTGCTCTCGAGCAGAAAGAGACATAATCCTCGAGCACTTGTCTCTCATGGGTACAAAGTTCAATATACATACCTGCGTTTCACTTCGCCTGGACCCTGAAGTAGAGCTACATACTTTCTCTACAGAGCTTTCAGGAGAAAAGGCTGTGAGGTTTCCCAACAATACTTCGGATATTGACGCATTTGTCAGAACACAGTTAGAGGTTGCTCTATCAAACCAATCTTTGACTCTAGGCGACCCATCCATCATTCTTGAAATTCAGGATGCGCTGTTACAAGGTTCACAGCACATGTTTCTCTGGGTTGCTCTCCAAATCCAAACGCTCTGCACGATGCACACCGATCATGACATTCGACAAGCGCTCAATGACCTACCTCGGGACCTCTCTCAAATTTACAGTCGGATACTGCAGCAGGCAACGAGACCAAGCCGACCGTCACGATCAGACATATTCAAGCTCATATTGACTTCGAGAACGCCACTTACGGTACAGGAAATGCGAGAAGCTCTGAGCGTAGTTCCAGGAGATACTACGTGGAACCCTGCCAAAGTTCTCAACAGCATATACCCGGCACTGGCGACCTGCGGTTGTCTTATCACTGTTGACGAAGAGGAACACACGATACGTACGGTCCATCCAAGTGTGAATCAATTCTTGCTCCGCAATGACTCCACGCCTCCGGATAACGTGCAACAGGATCAATTTTCGCTGGAGGATGCGCAAGCACTAACGTCGTCGATCATCGTCACCTACCTGGGGTACGGCATATTTGGAACAGAGATTGCTCTTCGTTATCCTTCATTCAACGTAGGATCCGTGCCTTCCCAGATCATCAGGTCCACAACACATACAGGAAAAAGTGTTCAATCCATAGCCTTGAAGCTATTGAGATCCTCGAAAAGGACCGAATTCTATGCGTCGAAAGCTCTCGCACAGAAATACAAGGAACATATTCCCTCAAGCTTGGGTGACTTCCAGTTCCAACATTACGCAAAGAAGTATGTCTTGCTTCACTTGACAGAACTTCCTGCCATCTCATGCGCCATTCCAGAAAGTCTAGTCACAATGTTCAAGCATGGTGTAATACGCATCAGGGAATATGACGAGATTATCGGTTTTTTATGGCTCATGCTTCGATATCCTGTCACATTGGACGTCATAGACCTGATACAAAACCAACACACGAAGGAAACTCTGGAAGGAGCCCAAAGCTCACTAGATGATATCTTTCCCAGACTGTTCTATCGCGCGATCGAAACTGGTAGTATCAATGCAGTTGAACATTTGCTGGATACCTACCGCAAATTCGACCCTTACTCGCCTACTCTAAACCCCTCTACATCAACGTTCATCTTTTGCACACAATATCTGAGATGGCGCCCTGAGCTGGAGAGCTATACCGACTTCTTTGGGCCTGCACCGCTGTGTTATGCCATAATACAGTCGCAGGACCACGTTGTTGAAGTCCTTCTCAACGATGGGCGGATACCTCAGCACGAAATAACGGACACGACCACGCACGACGGAAGCTTAGATCTATGGGACAAGCCGATAGGCGTTGCCATGAAGCTGAAGCGCATTAGGGTTCTGAAATTACTGACCTCGTCGCAGCATTCTACGCTGCGATTCATCCTGTCAGAACACGAGATTGAGCTGCTATTAGAATGTGCTAAAAAGCTCCCTGATAGCTCTATCGCGTCCTCACTCGAGAGATTGAAACGGAGGCGTGAAGAAAGCACCGGCTCATATTATCCCGATGGCTCAGAATCGTTCTATCCCAAAAGCAACTTCAGCTCTTTCTATCCCGGACAAGGCGATAACTCACCAACTGTTCCTGACATGCGGCACAACACGTTCACCTTGTTCCCGTCTGTCAACGCGCCTCCGGCACCAAAAGACGAGAAATCTCTCGCGGTCAATGAACTCTGAGACTCGATCCTCGGTACCATTCACGTTCCTTCCACATTTCAACGTTACTAACGCTCAATCGAGATAGTCTTTCGCGTCAGTCACTGTCAGCAGAACTCAAGTTCCAGATACAAACCCTTGGTAAATACCTTCCATAACCATGGCAAGTGTTTTCGTACCGTGACCACTGTCTACACTATGTCCGATCCAAATGAGGAGCAGAAAATGCTGCTTAGCAGTGAGTTCCAACAATTGAAACAAGAGGCCAGAGAAAAACCTGGATCTTAAGATACGATACAACAACGGAAGGGTTACGGACAAGTGAAGCAACTCCTTTAGTTCGGTTGGTAGAAGACGTTGATAGGTTTTGAACGAGATATAAGAATGCTGTATCTGATAAGAAGAAGCCGAGAAGTTGTCGAGCCGGACTGATATGGTTTGGAGACTGTTGATACTTTGTGGCAAAGTAGCGAGGGTACGAGAGGGGTAATAGAGAAGAAGGGAATGAAGAACACAAAGATGAGGAGCAGGATGATGTTCAACATGGGGACAATAAGCAAACCATTGAAAAAACTGCGGATGACAAGAACCTGAAGGACAGGGGGTACAAAGCATAAAACAATCCATTTATAAGGCTATCGCGATAGCGCGATACATTCGTCATGGCTCTCATTCTGGTCAGTGTTTTGACACTATTGGCTTGGAAGAAGTGGTCAAACAGAAGGCGGAACAAGAGTAAATGCGAAGACAAATCGCGCGTTTGCTAAATCGCCTTCACCTTCGCAAGCGGCTAGCGTCTATTAAGACTATAGTCAAAATCGTGATGATATAGACCCAATGTTCAGCTCCGATGCAAAGCCTGATACAGTTGTGAGCATTTTACATCTGTAAGCAGGTTGGAGGTATTATTGAGATAATAGATGTTATAATGTATTGTGTACGGAGATGTCCGTGTTATAAGCTTGTATACATAGAGTAGTAAACTGATTGGCTAGTAGAGTATCCACGTGACTGTGCAAGGTCTCCTGGGCTTACAGTTTCAAAAGTAACTTACCTAGGGGAAGGCTGGGTATTGTTAAGATCCTAAAGCACTCCGAACTGAAGCTTACTTCTTCCTTCTGTCATCGCCTTAGGATATAATGTTGATAGGCGTAGTTTATCGGCTTGCGGGAATTTGAAGGCCCGGGGAATCGCATTCTCCGAGCCGTTGGCCGCCTTGTCGCTTCGCTTATTTTCGTTGGTCAAGCGCAGTGATGGTTCTGCTCATCGAGGGGCTTGAATTTGTCATCACCAAACATCAAGTTCAATAATCCATGTAAACGTAGTATTCTAAACGCGCGGCACCGATGATATACAACCCAAAGCCAATCACATGCAGATCAATACCGGAAACGAGGGCTTTCTCTCTATCCTTCCCAACCCCGCGACGCACATTCGGCTGCTTATCGTCTTCGCTTGTGGTGAGGCAGGCGTCGCTGACATTCAAATCTCACTCATCTCTGTTCCGTTCCTTGACGCACCAGCCTATCATGCGGTTTCGTATACATGGGGCGATTCCGCTTCCGAAGAAGATATCACAATATGCAACAGCGATAACGGGGATTCGAAGGACAGAAGCAATGACCGTCGACGGATGACGGTCCGCAAGAATTGTGCAGATGTGCTGCGACAATTAGCCCATTTTAAGACGGCAAAGTACTACTGGGTGGACGCAATTTGTATCGACCAAATTAATGATACCGAGAAGAGTTACCAAGTCGCAATGATGGGGGAGATTTTCAGGCGTGCGGATTGCGTACTATCTTGTGTTGGCATGCATGAAGATGACAGCAAGTTCATGGCCGACACGCTTAGGAGTTTCGATACACACTTGGCTTCACACGGAAAATCATCTGCAGTCTTCAGCGACCGAAGTCGTGAATGGACAGATGAGAAAGGCTGGACAATCTGGCATAGTGAGCACTGGCTGGAGGCCCTCGCAGACCAGGACATAGTACGACTTTATGAGGCTCTTGATGCTCTCGCTCGACGGCCGTATTTCTGGCGAATCTGGATCCTGCAGGAATTGTTTGTTGCTCGTCAAATAGTGATCCTATGCGATCTTGACGAGCTTTCGCTTCCCACAATCCTTTTCTGGTGGGTCGATGCAAAAACTCAATGGGTTTTTCGGCATCGAGATGACATTGCGGCAGGCAAAGAGCCACCTATCCTACTGCGCAAACTCACGGCGTCAGGAGCCGGCAAGGATTACTTGAGTAGAGCGCGATGGACTGATGTGCTCAGCTTTCTTGATGATGGAGGCTCAGGTTTCGGTGCTGGATTTGAAGACATGCTCCGCGGGCGAGCAGTTACTCTTGATGAGACGTCCGAACGAAAGCAATTATCCTTAACAAAGATGCTTACCATGTGCGAAGACCGACGTTGTCAGGATCCGCGGGATACTGTGTACGGGACCCTCTCCTTAACGAACTGGGGTGACGGTACGTCATTCACCCTGGATGGAGTTTTGATTCGGGCAGCTGCAAACGATGACGGTGTTCTTCGCCCGGACTATAAGAAGTCCAGCTATAATTTAGCGAAAGAGGTTATGCTGAACTTCAACGACACAGGCGAGCTTGTTAAGCTAGTCCTCTACATGCTTCGGGTTGGCTCGGATGTGGAGGAAGTAATATCAGGGATTGACTCTCGCCGCCAGAGAGCCGTTACCACAGCACAAATTGCGGACCAGGACCTAGTTCATCTAGCAAACCAGTCGGAACAGGAGCAGTTACAAATCGTGGAAGGTGGCTTCCAGATTACATCAGAAAGTGTCTGGAGGATAGAACGGGCCACAGATTCCACATGTGTGTACATTCACGCAGTGGATCGATCTGACCATTGTTGCGCAATTGCAAGCGCGACAACAAATGTCAACGATTGGATCGTGCCTACAACGTACAGTTACGGCTTTGTTCTCCGTCAGGTCAGTGAGGCAAGCAAGTATTTCCAGATCGCCGGAAAAGTATGGTTTCCCCCAGAGCTTCTACCGAATGATCTTGAAATGACTGCTTTCATGATGTGGCTTGGGGTTGATGACATCCTAGTACATCTGGCAGGTGGGTTCGCATATATTCTCTCTGGAGACAATACAAAGAGACTGGAAGAAAGGGTCCTTGAGCTCATTAATGTCGATTTTTGTGGGGAGCCGTACTCTAGTTGCGCTGAGATTCCTGTGGAGAAACGCACTGGTACAGCTGACGATTTCGTGGAGCGTGCAAAGACTTATACTTTGCAATTACTTGCAGATTGGCATCTCTTTCAAGCGGAAAACTCTGAACGTACGTAGAAATGGAGTTTCTGATTACGTTAAAGTGTCTCAAAGCCATCACGGATTTGAATGAGTTTCTAGAGATGCTTACACAAGCACTAGTGGATCCCACAGGCGGCTTTGGTCTAGACTTTGGTCAGTCGTGCTTATATCGCTTGTTCCATCGGGCAATTCAGACTGGTAGTGCCCACGCGCTTCAACACTTACTGGATATCTGTCGTCCGATCATCCTTGATTACGATACCGTAGTCAAAAAAAGAGGAGGTGGTGCGCCTCCGGTAGTGGTTGAGCTCTGCTGCCGGCATCGATGGTGCGATATGCCCTCGGCTCGCGATGAACTTAGACACTTTTTCTTTGGGAGTTCGCCATTGCGGTAAGCTATTCAAAGCCGACAGTATTCAATCCTCGAAGTTCTTCTCACTGATAAATCAATCGATCCCAACGAAGGTGAGGCCATATCAGAAGGATCAATCGGTTTTGCCAGTTCAGAAAATGCAATCGGTTTTGCTATGAGGTACAAGGATATCAAATCTCTGAAACTGCTGCTCTCAGTAGAGCACCGGAAGCGACTGAGTCTAAGTAGGCGCGAGGCCCAACAACTACTGGACCAGGCCAAGCACTTAGGAAGTGAGCCCGAAATTGTCCTGGCGCTGGAAGACATTCTTAGAAATCGAGATTCTGTTCACAGTCGCTAAGAGGACGCCATCAAGCTCATATCATTCTGGCGGGTAGGGCGATGCAGCTCAATGGTGCGCATGCGGTGGTTGAACGTTCTTAATAGCGCTTCCTAGCCCTTTTGAGCTACAGCGCTTAGCGAAACTGGCTTCCCCTCCTGCGCAGTTGTTACAAAGTATGCGCCACACTGCCAGCAGGAATGACCGTAAAGTGCCCCACCTAGGTACCGGTGCCCCGCACCAGCACCGGTATCAATTCACAACAACATCAACGACGACTAAGATAAGCGGGCCAGTTTTGTGACTAGGTAAGCACCTTGCATAATTTGGTTGTGAAACAGAGTACTCATTCCTTGACTTTGCGCAGACCTGAGCACGTTCGCTCTATCTGTCAACGCCGCAGTCAAGACGGCTCTTTAATTGTCGAACATGGTCTCTCAGGACACTGATCGGCCCAATGCTGCGTCTGTCTCAGACTTGGACGATTCTAGCATCTATACACCTACCACGACTGCCGAAAACGTTACTATGGACCTCGTGGAAGATCACGCCTCGCCAAGTTGGGTACCTTCACATGGATCTACCGTCATCATTCGCTCTATCTCATGCGGCAATGTGCTTACATTGCTTGATGGGAACATCGTACTAGCTCCGCCTAGCGGTCGTGGATCCATCCTGTGGACGTGTATAGAAACTGAAGGCTGGTTTGGATTCCGAAACTGCGTCTCAGGCAAGTTCATATGCCATGGTCGGGATGCAAGACTTAAGTGCACGGCAGAGGAGCGTGATGGTTGGAGGCAATTTACTATTACTCCAGTACCAAAAGGGGGCTACGTTATGCAAATGTTGGACTGGTGGACTCTTCGTCCTATAGTGATCAATGCACAGAACGGACTACAAAAGCTAGGGAGAACTGGAAACAAGCTGTCTGAAGGAATTGTATGGGCCTTCCTAGAGAGTACGGCCGGTAATGCTGACCTCTGAGACTTTTAAGTAGGACAGTCTCGTTATAATCAAATACGGTCGATCAATTAAGATATGAAGTAAACCGGCCGGTTACATGCGATCAGATACTTACTGGAACTATATTCTCATGTACTGAAGCTATTTCATATCGACAGAGCTTACCCGATCATGCTGGCACTCAAAAATATATTGGGACTCGAAAGCATGTTATCCACTCCGTTCGTATGACGAGCGTAGACGCCTGCTTCTCGGTTTGACACCTTCACGTCTCACCATCCAGAATTTCTAGGATAGATGTCCGGAATCGCTCGCTACCTCTCAACGAATAGATCCTAAGGATGAGCAAGGACGTTTGCGCGTACCGATATCTGTTGCTGTGGATAAGAGAAATGTCAACGTAGTGAATATGTTACTATCCTCGGACCGGGTTCGTCCAATGCGGCAAGAAGCCAGACAAGGACCGGAATGACTCATGAAAGAGATGAGAGAGCAGAGAGGATGGTCCTATCATGATAAACAGCTTCCTGGCGACTACCTAGGTATTCGATCGCGATGCATGATTTGCTTCTCGACTACAATCTAGCCAAGTCTACTTTCATCAGTTTTAAGAGTCAAAAATTGATATGGTATTGCTGTTGTGATAGTTTCGAGACGATGATGTTCATGTTCCTGTTCTTAGGCACGTTCCTATTCCGATACGGAACGTTCCGAAGAACAATCTAACTCTACCTCGAGCGATGATCACTACACCGTGCGCATAATGGCACCAGCCAATCCGCCAACGTCGCTCGTGAACTCTATCAAAACGATTGAAGCTTTGAAGGTTCTGATTATCGGTAATGAGATCCACGCAATCTACCTCGTGCCCGGCTGATGTGCTATCAAGACCAGGTTCGCGCGATTCATGGCCATTCATACCCGACCAAACACTACACCTTTTCAGTATTGACCTCCGCACTCCCGCCCACCCTTCCACCCCCCGGATCATCCATCAGGAAGCCAATCGTGTTTTACACGGCCCAAGCTATCGTTTACACCAAGCCTGACTCATTTGCGGAATGGAAGCTACTAGCCGAGAGCGAACTCGGCGACTCGACATGGGAGGCGGTAGAGAACCTTTACTGCAAGCTGCAAGAGCAGGTTGGAGAAGTGATGCGTAAGTCGAGATCAAAACATTGGCTTGAATGATGAGAATCACTAACGAGGCCCAGAAAACCTTGTTCTACGTCAGATGTGGAACGGAAAGGAGGTTATTGATGACCTGATGAGTGACATATGAGTCGAGCTGGCAGATGCTATTCAAGGCTTATCGGAGGCCAGTATGGACGAACACTCAAAAGGCGTTGCGTTTACTCTTTTGTGGAACTTAGCTTCCGATCATGCTCTACTTTCCCTTCGCCACATACGGGAAATCTCCACGAAATCCCCATTCTGTCCCTGTCTTTCAACCGCTCTTTTCTTATATCTTAGCTACTTTGGGATCAGAATCCACAACTCCTAAAACACTTACACATCATGCGCGACGACCATCCAAACATTCTCGCTCTTATAGGAATCCGTCTTTTCACCAATGCTCTCTTCTATCTCCAGTAGATTGAGATGAGGTGCCGGTTCCATCCCACTACTCACTGTAAGTATGCTCAGCTACTCTTTATTGATTGGTCGGCATTTCCACGTATTGATTCGATGACTCAAGCTGCATCTATAGATCCCGGAAGTCCTGATATTGCGAAGGATGCCCAGGTGGTGTTCACTTGGTTGCATGACATCATAAACACAATCTTCACTGCCGCTCGATTGATGCTGTACTGTTGACGAAAGACATTGTTACGGATGCTTGAGTGCAGACATGCATGTAGCATTAACATCACCAATGGCCGCGGTATCGATGACGTATGCTGTCACGCTAATCCAGATATAGCTTTGCCTCGGCTCGGTATCTTCCCCAGATTCTGCGACCTCCGCATTGAACTCCGCAGCTCTGATACCCGTGCAAAGCGCTGACAACTCACTCGACTGTGGATTTCATACTAATCATCTTGCGACCTCTTGCATAACTGGATTTTTTGAATCACGAGGACGATTACAACATGCCGAGCGTACAACTCAAGGTCGAACGGCAAGGGGTGAGCAGGGAGCTCTCCGAACCTCTGCCTGAGCCGAAACCATTCGAGGGTTTGAAGGGAATCAGAAGTCTCGCTGGGGATCTGGGCAGCCAGTGAGTAAGGGGTTGTGGCGCGGACTTGTAGCTGGACGGCCGAATACTGACTGCACGTAGACGCGTCAAAGACAAAGTAATCATTGTTACTGGTATGCTCACCACTTCCAGCACATGCCGCATAACATCTACGTCTAACGTCGCCTCCAGGTGCAAACTCCGAAATAGGCATCGGCCGCGCAAGCGCACACCAATTCGCGCGCAACGGCGCCCGCGCAATCTACGTTTGCGACTTCGCCGATTCCAACCTCGAGACACACAAGCGCGAGCTCAACACGCTATACCCGTCTACCGAGATCCACACCCGGCAATTCGATGCTGCGGACGAAGCTTCAGTACAAAAGGTTTGCCAAGAAGCTCTAGACACCTACGGCCGTCTTGATGTCTTCTTCGCCAACGCGGGAATATCATCCGGCAAGGCGTTCTGGGAAGAGTCGGTAGAAGGCTTCATGAACGTGTTGCGCACAAACGCTCTCTCCGTATTCCTCGCTGCGAAACACGCATCTCGCGCTATGCTCAAGACGTCGGATCAGAAACCATACCCGAGCGGCAGCATCATCGCTACAGCGAGCGTAGCGGGCCTCCGATCCAACGCCGGTCCCACGGATTACTCCGCTTCAAAGGCTGCAGTGATCAGTCTGATGCAGACATGCGCGTATCAACTTGCTGGCTCGGGTATAAGATGTAATGCTGTTTGCCCAGGCCTCATCGAAACTGGTATGACTAGGGTGACATACGACGCGGCGAGAAAGAGGGGCAGTGAGAAGAAGATTGGGCAGCTGAACCCGCTTCAAAGGGGAGGGCAGCCGGATGAGATCGCGAGGGCGGTACTGTTCTTGGCAAGTGATGAGGCTAGCTATGTTAATGCGCAGGCTTGGGCGGTGGATGGGGGGTTGAGTGGGGGATTACCGTTCGTGCCAGGAAAACTGGCATAGGATGTGGACAGATTATCTAAAGAGATGGAGTGGCGAAGACCCTGTTACATCGCATGAAGCAGTTTCTACATCACCGCAATACTACTACTCTGGTACGCTTGTGGGGTTCTTGCTAACGCACCAGTAGCCGAGTGTGCTTTGTTTCTGGTCGCAGGAAATTACACCATCATGTTCATTCAGTCATCACTCAGCTAGCCACGACGTCGCGTTGGTAAATGCCTATCCAATAATCGTCCATAATGTCCCAGCAGTCATAATCTGCACGTAAATCTGTCTCACAGTGAACCAAGATGTTGCTGGGGCAGCACGATGCATAGTATCGTCAAGGGTATCCGATTAACTTGCACACCGTTTGGAAGCCCTTTCCTCCAAAGAACATATCGTCCCATTCAGCTACTTTCTCCCTGCATAAGCCGGTCTGCCACACTGTCATCTACCCATTATTCTACTGAATAACTTCGCGATGGCGGACTTACCAGCACACATCTCAGGCTCAAAACCCTTCGAATCTCCTTTTCTAGACCATAATATTCCAAGCTCACCACCTCTACCAATCTATCCCACACTCCGTTCAATCAAGGAATCCCCCCGCCGTTCACCATCTCCACCAGCACCAACAATCTACCTTACAGGCTATCGCTGCCACGCTAGCGACCCAGAATACGGATACGCGAGAGAGAGAACAGGAGACGTTCAGCCATACTGGTTCGAAGAAGCGTACGGTGCTGCGGACTTCAACGAGGGAGTGAGAAGGAGGGCGAAGAACGATATGGCACCCCATGAGGACGAAGTCGCGGTTATAGACCTTGATGATGATGGGAAGGAGATGGATAGAGTAACTGCTAGAGATCAGAGGGAGAGAGCCAGGGAGAGGGTGTTGATGAGGGAGGAGGGTGAGTGGGGGCTTGGGGGGTATGTAGTGAGTATATATCACGCAATCTGACGATCGCATCGGCTGACTTGGGACAGGATATGAGCGGAGAAATCAGAGGTAACAGCTTGGAAAACAGGAGAATGATCCGTGAGGAACAGTGGAAGCAGCTGGAGGCAGAGAGGGAGAGTTTGCAAGAAGAGAGGAAGAAGCTCGATGTCAATGAGACGGAAGAAAAGCGACAAAAAAAGGAAGAGCAGCATGCTTCGCGCGTACCTATTCGTGAGCGCGCACTTGGCCTGCTGGATTTCCAGAAGAAGACGAAGCTAAAAGGCAAGTCAAAGGTTGAAGTCGCCGAGCCACACAACGTAAAGGCCGACTCCCTACATACTTCAGGCTCAAGCAGTTCAAAGGACGATATCCCTGTTTTCGCCGAGCCGCAGCCCTCACCCGCTGGCGAAGGAGTCCCCAGACTGCCCCTACCACCACCACTTTACGCTCCCCCTCCTCCGCCCCTAACAGTCCGCAACCCAGATCTTCCACAAATGGTCACACAGCAACCCCCTACACCAACGCGCGGCCAAGATCCAACGCGTGCCAGAGCTCCCACACCTCCATCGCTGAAGAGCTCTACGACCACAGAAACCGATATCGACGATCAGAGTGGGAGCAAGGCACTTTCTCTGCGACGGAGTTGTTCTTCTGCATCGAGAGTTCAGGCTGATATCCCAGTTGTGCCTGTGCCTGAGAACAGTGTATGCCTCCCCATACTAGCTTGACTTGCAAGTCTAGTAGCGATTGAAGCTGACAAGTATGCATAGGGACTGGTGAGAGGTGTCGGTACATTGGAGAGGCAGGTTCCGGAGAACAGTGTACGTGCGACCCGTTTCGCTGTTCTAGTGATAGTTTGGCTAATGTGGGGAGTAGGGACTAGTACAGGACTTTGGTACGTTGGAGAGGGCGAGAGCGCGGAGGGCTAAGGGTAATCGCTTCCTTGCGTGTTGCGTTGGGAGGAGGAAGTAGGTGGCGGGTGAGAGGGAGCGTGTATGCTGGAAGGTTGCGACGGCTTAGAGAAGGATCTCCGAAGCCGTGTACCTATGGGCATGGGCGCACGAGAGAGTATCGCAGATGAATCACAATTGCACGGTACGCTATCGCTGGTTGAACATCCATTTGACTTGGCTCAGAGTCCTTCGGCTGGTAGGATATTGTAGTGTTATTTACACTCAGCCAGTATCGTACTTCATTGGTTACCATAGGCTTCTAGTCACACCAAACCTGGAATCACGGACAGCATCTCAATTCACGATCACACTTGCTACGCAAGACACATGGCTTGCGTAAATCAAGACAAAGGACTATGGTAAATCAAGACAAAGGACTATGGTAGCGAGAAAGGCAAGCTAGTTATGTACGGCGACAACACCTGGCTAAAGCTCTTCCCGAACATGTTTGCGCGCGCTGATAGGACAAGCAGCTTCTTCGTCTCGGTTAGTCATAAGCGTCCCATTGTTGCATATAGTAGGTCAGTGTAGTGATACAGGGTCCTAGCCTAATTCACTTGCGCAGAAAGATGTCACGTTTCTTTGCTGCAAGAAGCTGCCTTTCGCGTTCACCACTTTGCGTGACTGCATCAAGTCGCCTTCACCCCAACTTGCAGCCGAAAAAGATGCGCGCCCACGCTCAAATGACTCTCCACTCACTGCGCTTCCCACCGCGCTAAGACTGCGTAGATATTCCTACCTTGAAATACCCTCGTTGTCCCAACAATTGCTACATTCACCACTCGTTAACGCAACACTATTACCATGACCGGCGTGGGCGGCTGCCAGAGTCACTCCAAGCCTCCGACTTCGATGCGCGAAATCGACGAGTCGTATCCTTCCCCCCAGGATATTGAGTCGCAGAAGTGGAGCAACGCATTAGAGAATTCGCAGCGCTCGCTCAATGAATCGATGCACTCACCCGCCTACCGTCGGTTCCTTACCAGCACCGCATCGATCTGGAACAGTAATATTCCGGGACTTCAGGACTCGTCTGGCGGCATTGCGGGAAACGGTGGAGATAGAAGCGTTGTCCAATCTCCTTTGACTGACACCCGAGTGAAGCTGAGCAACAGCTACAAAGGTCGCCATAATGGCTATGTGCAAGCTTCGGTTCCTAAGCCTGGCAGTATCGTACCAGAAGGACGTTTTGATCGAGATTTGAACACCACTGGCCTAGCCACTTCACTCTCACTCCGTAGTCATACGCTTCCCAGAATCTCGACTGAGTCACCGTGTCAATCTTACTTCAGCGGTTCTGATCATGCTTACGCGAAGCTGGCCACTTGTAGCACGTCTTCTGGCTGGCTTCATGAGCAAGAGAAACACTCGCAAAGACCGCTGCGCTTTGCTGCCCACTCCAGCGCACTCAGTCTCCAGGATGACCCTCACCCGTCGAACCTCTCCAACCCACGAGGATCACCGAGAACCCTTCACACGCCGGACCGAACAGAATTTCACGAGCGTATGGAAGGCGACTGGATTTCAGGTCTATCGGGTATTCCATCTCCTTCACGCTTTGGTAGTACGGGGGAGCAACTCCACGAGACTAACGGTATACCACTCTGCTCAGTCCCGAACGGAACTATTCTACGAGATTACGAGATGGCATGGCGAAGATCAGCGGAACATGGTACAGATATGAAGAGATCAAAGCACAGACAGCGAGGTCCCTCGTCGCCCACCGTACAGCGCTACGCATCCACTGGATCGATCTCACCAGCCTTCGACATCACACCACGCAGCGCACAAATCGACGACGAAGGAAACATTTTCATCAATGGCTCAGGACATGTACGAAAGCACACTGATCCGTTTGTAGGCTCTAAGCCGGTTTTGTATGGTTCACAGTCTGCCAGGTTTCCTGTAGCTAGACCTTCGACACAGTTCCAGCTGCCGTCGCAGCCATCCATGCGCCGGACTCTCACCCCGACTACTGCATTGTGGTCCAAGTCAGCTCCGAAGAATGTTCCGTCCGCTCATCCGCCCACATTAGCAGCAATTCCACTCGTCTCCGCGACCTCTGTGCGTGCCATGCCGCCTACTCCAGCATTTCTTAGTTCTGTATCGGGACCAGTTACACAAGATCGTCCACCCACAAGATCCAACTCCCTTATCCTACCACCTCCTCTTTCCAGTATCCAGGGCAAGTATCATCACACCCCAGAAGCGCGCGCACGTCTAGAAGCACAGGAACCTGTCCGCGAAAAATGGATCCGCACCGAAGCGGCCAAGATCGGACAGCTAGCGAGGCTGAGGCAAAATACCTACCGTCGTTGGGTAGAGACCAATTCTGAACTGAATTACATAAATTGGCAAAAGGCTGAGGCGGCATTGGCCGAGGCTACAAACACGGAGAATAAAAAGGAAGAGAGGCGGAATCTGTTTTTGAATTTAAAGTGTATGACGGCGTTGAAGACAGACAAGGCTGAGGATATGTCAGCTGATAGCCGCGAGAGAGGAGCCAGAGGTGGAGAAGAGAAACTGCTTGGCTATCAGATGGCGACGATGGAGTGAGTATGTGCGGAGGTCAAGCATGGGGAAGGCGATGCGATCATCAGCGCTGAGATGTTGGCGACTTTGAGCTTGGATGAGAAGAAGGCTCTTCGCAGGCATCTTCTCGGACGTCTTGGTAGGTATTGAGATTTTTGACCATGTATCACGATACAGCAACTGTGGGACTTGCAGATGAGTAGGAGGTCAAGATATGGAAACTCTATAAGATACCTTATCAGCACATGACAAGTAGCTATGGTAGTCTACCTACCGACCGAATCACAAAACGATCTAAGCATCACCGAGCATGTCTATGCTCCGCCACCTGCCATGATCTTCTTCCCCTTGACACTCTTCTGCTCCATACCCAGACTAACAAAGAATGCGATACTACTCGTCGCGATCGCAAGTATGAATGCCGTGACAATCGCATTGTTATACCCATGCAACACGCCCGGCAGAATCTCCGGCGGCACAACACCCCTCAAGTTCGTCGCCCCAGCATTTGCCACAATCCTCGCGTCAAATCCCGGCGCATACTTGGGCACCTCCTTACCCAGCGTATTGACAAAGATATTCTGCGCGATGGAGATGCTCAGCGCGCCACCAAGAGAGTTGAAGAACATGACGCAGGCATTGGCTGTTGGCATATCTTTCTCATTCGTCACGACTTGTACTGCGACAAAGGGGATTTGTACACCAGCCCCTGCGCCGATACCGGCGAGGATCTGGTAGCCGATCCATTGACCCGGTGGGGAAGAGACTTTGAGCGTGTACAGCATGCCTGCGCCGATGGCGAAGATGGCGCTGCCGAACCACATGAAAGGCGCGTACCAACCGACAACAGTGATGAGGCCGCCGATGACAATGGATGAGCAGGTGATGCTGACGAGGTAAGCGATGGTGCGGATACCAGATTCCTCAGCCGTGGTCCCTTTTATAGCCTGGAAGTAGAAGGGAAGGTAGAAGATATGCCTGATAATTGTTAGATTGCGAGCTGGGGACTAGGAGGAGTGACAAGGACTTACGTGTACAAAGCCATGGACAGTAAAGTCGAGTACAAACAGCTAACTAGTACAGTCCGCTGGGTAAAGACTCTTACAGGAATCGTCGCTCGGTCCTCTTGACGCAACTGTATGCCGATGAAAACGGAGATGAGGAGACCGAAACCCAGCAACGTACCCCAGACCTTCGAATTACTCCACGCATAACTAAACCCACCCCACTGCAAGCACAAAAGCAAGCAAACAATAGCACAAATCAAGAACACCGCTCCCACAATATCAATCTTCTTCAGCCTCTCCCTGACAGGAAGATGCGAGTACGTCCTCTTGGGATTCGTAAAGAAGAAGAAGACGACAGCCAGCGACACGGCCCCAAACGGAAGATTAATCTAAAAGCACCATCGCCAAGACGCGCGGTCCGTGAGCGCACCTCCAAGGATAGGTCCCACGACGGATGCGATGCCAAACATGGAGGAGAGCGCCGCAATGTAAATAGCCCGTTTCCTCAACGGCACCGAAAACCCAATGATGGTCATGCCGCCCGAATACAACGCTGCAGCCCCCGCGCCCGCGACTGCCCTGCCGACGATGAACATGGGCGAACTCGTCGCCGCAGCGCATATAATGCTGCCAACCTCGAATATTACGAGCGCGAAGAGATACGTGTATTTGACGTCGAAGTAGGTGTATATCTTGCCGAAGGAGGGTTGCAGCGAGGTTGTTGTTAATAGGTAGGAGGAGCCGTACCATCCGACGTCTTCGAGGCTGTTGAAGACGGTTGTGATTTTGGGGATTGCGGTTGCGATGATGGTGTTGTCGAGGGCGATGACAAAGGTTGTCAGACAGAGGCCGACGGAGAGGATGGCGAGTTTGAAGCCGCTGAGGTACTTGGAATCGTCGTCGGGTGCGGTGGATTCATCTTTGTCGTCTGAAGTCGCAATGGCTTCGGTTGGGGTCTTTTCGTTGGGTGGGGGTTTGGTATCTGTGTTTGTTGGTGGCGAGGGGGTGTGGCCGTGGTCTTGTGTTTCGTTGGGCGCAGACTTGCTCTCGAGGCTTTTCTTCGGCTGTTCCAGTTTTGAATCATCGTCTCCAGATGTTCGTGTGTCTTCGGTACGGGGAAGGGTCGTGCCTGTGCCGACTGTCTCTTGAGTAGAATCGGTTGCCTGCATAACGGCTGCGGGTCTAGCTCAAAACAACCAAAATAAGCCTTCTGCGGGCCGCTGCAAACTGTGTGAGACCTGTCAACGGGTATCTTGTGGACCGACAAACAGTCTCGCGGCAGCGGAAAGCTGGTTTACCCAGGAAGCAAACTCCGGTAAAACGAGGCAAACGCAGGAAATGCATCGAAAGAAGCAGCAGGGCGGACCGTCATTCTCTATAGAGTCTTCGATCACGCGCCCGTAATCAAAAAGTGACCGTTTGGAGCGATGACCGTATTCTTTACGGCGTTCGTTAGCCAAGCGACCTGTCTAACGGGCATCTGCAACCGAGAAGAGGTGCAGTGGGCGCGGGACGTTGGGTTGCCGAGCTCAAGCAACCAATGAGGAAATGCGCAGGATACATCCTTGCGACGGTAGTAATCGTCGGAACTTGGGTCTGGGTATACAATCAACATCGTTTATGACTTTGGGCGTTGTTGAGCGCGGTCATGCATGCGATGTCTGTTCTGTTGTACGCAGCAAGGCACTTGAGACGCAATGCATCCCATGTCGACACTGATGACCGTAAACAATTGGTCACTATCGCGACGAACAGAGCAAGAAGAGTCCGTCGTTATGGAAGAAGGTGCGGTCTCAAGACTTCCCCACAAACCACCGTCGACGACTTGCGCATCTGGTGACCGTACCCGAGGTGGAAATCAATCGCATCGTCGAACCCGAACGCGAGCAGGGACAGCGAATGAGAACCCCTGTTGATCGTGTGTTCGCGAACGCAGATCCCTGTGGGTATCATGGGGGACATGATTAGCCGGGTGGTGGGGTAGCTAGGGCTTTCCTTTTGTAAGAGCTGGTGCTTCAAGCTTCATCCTTGACAAACTGGGCAGCGGACAGATTGCGCAGCGGGCCGTCTCGCTCCCGTAGATGTACCACAGAAGAGAGCCATGCTGGGTGAGAAGGTCAAGACGGCGAGGGAAAAGCATGGTTTTTATGCATGTAGTAACATGGTTGGCAAGCGAGTGAGCCAGGCAAGCGAGTGAGCCACCCCACCAACTTTGCGCAACCTACGACCTCAAATCACTTATGGCTCTACCTACCCCAACTCAAAACGCCTCTCGTGAGGCTGATATAAACCTTGCAATCTTAGCTCTTAGTACAAGTCAAATTCAGACTGAGAGACGCGCTGCAGCGACGTTTGAAGTCTCTCGCGCTACCCTCCACCGCCGACGCGCTGGTAAACCCGCCCGACGCGATTGCCAGCCCAACTCAAAGAAGCTCACCCAGCTAGAGGAGCAGGTAATTGTTAGCTATATACTTGATCTAGATCTACGTGGATTTTCACCTACGTACACAGCTGTACGTGATATGGCTGATAAGCTGCTCGCTGCGCGCGGCGCAGGCCAGGTTGGACAGAAGTGGCCAGCCAACTTCGTCAAGCGTACAGACAGTCTCACGACGTGTTTCAACCGAGCGTACGATAGGCAGAGAGCTCTGTGCGAAGATCCAGTCCTAATCAGCGCCTGGTTTGAGCTCGTAGAGCAGACAAAGGCCAAGTACGGCATCTGCGATAATGACGTCTACAACTTTGACGAAGCTGGCTTTATGATGGGCAAGATCACGACTCAGCTTGTCGTGACAGCGTCAGAGAGGAGAGGTAGGCCAAAGGCTATCCAGCCTGGTAATCGCGAGTGGGTAACGTTGATCGCTGCGATCAACGCTGCTGGCTGGTCAGTCCCACCATTCCTCATCTTTGCTGGCCAGTATCACCTGTCTGCCTGGTACGAGGAAGCAGAGATCCCACGCGACTGGGCGATCGCAGTCAGCGACAATGGCTGGACAACCAACAAGCTAGGAGTAGAGTGGCTAAAGCACTTCAACGCTTACACGAAGACTCGCATGGTTGGTGCGCGTCGCCTGCTCGTCCTTGACGGCCATGAGAGCCACCAATCCCTTGAGTTTCAAGAGCTCTGCAAGGAGAACAACATCTACACGCTCTGCATGCCACCCCACTCATCTCACCTGCTTCAACCTCTTGACGTTAGCTGCTTCTCGCCGTTGAAGCGCGCGTACAGTCGTGAGGTGGAGAGCCTAATCCGCCACCACATCAACCACATCACCAAGCTCGAGTTTCTGCCAGCGTTCAAGACAGCGTTTGATCGAGCGTTCACGCCAGCCAATATCTGCTCAGCTTTTCGCGGCGCAGGCCTTGTTCCTCTCCAGCCAGACGCTGTCCTCTCGAAGCTAGACGTGCAGCTCCGTACGCCTACTCCAGCTGCTCTACCAGAGGCTCCCTGGGAGGCTTGTACGCCGAGCAACGTACGTGAGCTTGAGGCTCAATCAACGTTGATACGTGATCGCGTGCGACGGCACAAGAGCTCATCACCAGCTTCGATCATTGAGGCGATTAACCAGCTCAAGAAGGGGGCTGAGGTGATGATGCTCTCAGCTGAGCTAATGCGCGATCGGATTGCCAGCCTTGAGAAGGCTAATAAGGCAGCGTCAGCACGTAAGCAACGGAAGAAAAAGCGTATACAGAAGCAGGGGACCTTAACAAAGGGAGAGGGAGAGGAT